CCTTAGTTGCCTGGTTCCCCCGGTTGACTTCTCAGCTTCCCACATTCCCCTTCTCTGCCATTGCAAGCACCTCTTTCCCCATGGCGGACGAGGAAGCTGAGCAGGCCTTTTTCCAGGCGCAGGCCACAGATGCCGATGTGGGCGAGCAGGGCGCAGATAACGGAGACTCAGATGACTACGACCCTTCCCAAACCCTGCAAGACCAGCAGCCTCCAGCCACCGAGTCGGACGCTCAGCCAGACGACGACGCTCCGTCCATGACCATATCAGCAGACTCCAATGCTGCCCAGCAGCCGGGCGACGCTCCCAATCCCTCCCAGACCCCCTCCCGTGCTGAGTCTCAGACGTCTACGCCGATACCACCCTCTGGTGAGCCGGCGGAGCCCAAGACCAGAATGATCGGGGGATTTGTGGTTGAGGATGACGACGATGACGAGGATGACAAGGGTGATGCGGAATATGAGCCACCGGGTGTACTTGGGGCTGAGGACACAAATGCTATGCCTGTGACCATGTCTGAAGAACCCAGTTCAGGAAATGCAAATCAAACCACTTCCTCCCCTGATGTATCATCTTCTGCGGCGCCTGCTAGCGCGCATGAGGTTGCCAATAGTTCTTCTCACTTCTCTGTCCCTGTTTCGTCTAATACCGATTCTGCTACTCCTGTTGCTGCCCAGTGGGCTCCCCCGCAGGACTCGCTTGCGCCGAGCCTGCAGAACAGTACTGTTCCTACTCCTGTACCTGACTCTCCTTCTGCCTCCCGAGCTCGGCTGCCCCATGACCGCGTGGGCATCTTGCAAGACCGGATTGATGAAGATCCAAGAGGTGATATCGCTGCGTGGCTGGAGTTGATAGTCGAGCACCGAAGCCGCAATAGGCTGGACAGCGCGCGCGAGGTCTATGAGCGCTTCCTGAAAGTGTTTCCGATGGCGGTACGTTGTCTGCAGCCTTTTGATCATTGCGAATACGCTGACCCAAACAACCCTAGGCGGACCAATGGGTGGCGTATGCTAATATGGAGTCGGAGGTCAACGAGTTGTTCAGACTGGAGCAGATCTTCAATCGCGCGCTTCTGACTATCCCGAATATCCAGCTCTGGAACGTCTACTTGGACTATGTCCGTCGGCGTAACCCCTTGACCACCGAGACCAGCCGGAGCGTGATTTCATCCGCATATGATCTGGCCTTGACGTACATCGGCATGGACAAGGACTCGGGTAATGTGTGGTCAGACTATGTCGAGTTCATTCGTTCAGGACCCGGAACTGTCGGAGGCTCTGGCTGGCAGGACCAGCAAAAGATGGATCTGCTTCGCAAGGCCTACCAGAGAGCCATTGGTGTTCCGACTCAAGCCGTTAATACCCTGTGGAAGGAATACGACCAATTCGAAATGGGCCTCAACAAGCTTACGGTTAGTTTCGTGTCTTCATTTTTGTGTAGTGAAGGGATATGCTCACAATTATCACGATGTAGGGTCGGAAGTTCCTCCAGGAACAGTCGCCGTCATACATGACCGCGCGCAGCTCCTACACTGAGCTACAAAACATCACTCGCGACCTGATTCGCACCTCGCTCCCGAGATTACCCCCTGTACCCGGGTCTGAAGGTGACGTCGAATTCTCGCAGCAGGTGGACATTTGGAAGCGCTGGATCGCTTGGGAGAAAGATGACCCCCTGGTCCTCAAAGACGAGGATCTTTCCGCGTTTAAGAGCCGTGTGGTGTACGTCTACAAGCAGGCCCTCATGGCGTTGAGGTTCCTGCCTGAGATTTGGTTTGAGGCTGCCGAGTTCTGTTATGCCAATGACATGGAGAACGAGGGCACTGACTTCCTGAAGCAAGGCATCGAGGCCAACCCCGAGAGTTGCCTGCTGTCATTCAAACTTGGAGATCGCCTGGAAGTCACTTCGGACTCGGAGCAAGATTCCGCCAAGCGAGCAGCCAAAGTACGGGAGCCATATGACAAGCTGCTCGATGCACTCTATGAGCTGATCACCAAGGCCCGCACGCAGGAGGCCCAGGATGTAGCCCGCATTGAAGAGTGGTTCGCGAAGCAGAACCCAGAAAAGCAGTCAACGATGAACGAAGATGAAGACGACGCTCCACCCGAGGATAAAGAGAAAGAGTCGGCCAAGAAGGCGCAGATCGACGCCATCCGCAACGCCCACTCCATCCAGATCAACATCCTCTCCAAGACCATTTCCTTTTCCTGGATTGCGCTCATGCGTGCTATCCGACGCATCCAAGGCAAAGGCAAACCCGGCGAACTAGCTGGCTCGCGCCAGATCTTTGCAGAGGCACGCAAACGTGGTCGCATCACCAGCGATGTTTACATCGCCAGTGCTCTGATGGAGTATCACTGCTACAAAGACCCCGCGGCGACCAAGATTTTCGAGCGAGGCGCTAAACTCTTCCCCGAGGATGAACACTTCGCCCTCGAATATTTGAAGCACCTCATCGATATCAACGACATTATCAACGCAAGAGCAGTCTTTGAGACTACCGTGAGGAAACTGGCATCCAATCCTGCAAATGTCCACAAAGCCAAGCCCATCTTCTCTTTTCTCCACGAGTATGAATCTCGCTACGGCGACCTCGTCCAGGTCATTAACCTGGAGAATCGCATGCGCGAACTCTATCCCGACGATCCCAACCTCAGCCAATTTGCACACCGTTACTCCTCTCCAAACTTTGACCCTACCGTGGTGCGCCCCATCCTGTCGCCCTCGCAGACTCGACCCAAGACGTCGCTTCCCGGCGCCGCGGCAGAGCCACCTACGACGGGATATCTGGATCCGTCCATGAGTTCTTCACCCAAGAGACCCTTCCCCTCGGACGACTTCGATGACTCAAACCGCCCGCGCAAGTTTGCCCGCGCCGAGTCCCCGTTGAAGGGTACTACCGGTCGACGAGCTGAGCAGCCAATGCGTGGCCAGGCACCGAACGGCCAGACAATAACATCCCCCTACATGCCCCAGGGCTCGCAGACCCCTCTGCCTCGGGATGTGGTCCATCTCTTGAGCATCATTCCTGCAGCCTCCACGTACACTATCTCCAGACTTTCTCCTGAGAAAATGATCGATCTCCTTCGCCGGATCGATATCCCCAGCTCTACCTCTCAAATCCCGCTTCCGCAGAGCGCTCGCGGCCTTGGGGGAGGCCAAAGTTCTGGCTACTCCGGTAAGTCATAAGCAATTACCTTTTTCAGTTCCCCGCTATGTCGTTCCAATGCTAATATTGTCTTCTCTTCTAGGCTCTTACCGGTGAAGACAATGAATGAAACCCTCCCTTCCTTGGCTGCAGCCGTAACCGACCTTCGTGTACAATTCAGTTCTATCCCGGCATCATGTCGATCTTTCGCAGCACTGTTTTACTATCTTACCGTGGTGACAGTCGACCGACCTCCTTGCGGCAATGGGCTCAGGCTCTGACCCCAGCATGAGATATGGTCCCAAGTCCCGCAATTTTTACCTCACAGCTTCATTGCATCTTCCGGCGGCGTCCTCGATCTATTTGGCAATGACACCTCTGGTTGTTTCTATTTTCTTTCTATGGGAATGGCATTTCTTTTCTTTTCTTCCGGGCTAGGGTTTACGATACACCTCGTGTACATTTAGTCTTTTGAGAATGCTGCAGATACTTTCGCGACTCTGGTATGTTCTCTGGTTCCTTGTACAAAACGCCCCTGTAGTGAAACGAAGAGCCTGAATTATAAGGCCAAAATAGGAAGTGATCGGCGCCGAACCGCAGCGGTAGTCGGTTCTCGACGCGGGCAGTTTGTTCCTTTCAACCTTAGTGAAAGGGCCATGCTGGGTGAAAGCTATGCACATTGGGTCAGGTGATCCTAGACAGTAGTTGTAACTCTTGGGTGGCTGGACGTTTTTGGTTCATGTACCTGAATGTCACCTTCCGCTTTCAGCCAATTCGGGGAGAGGCGCTTTGATTATCAGCGAATTTTCTAATCCAGCTCGATAAGATTTTTCTATTACTATCAGTTGTCACAAGTTCGACGGTGTGTCCTGTGTTTATCGATGGTATGTCTTAGCTATCCCACGAAATATCCTTAATTGACTTAGATTTTAAATCGCAGGAAATTGATTTTGATCTTCCAATGGAAGGGCAGAGAACTCTACGTCGGCGGAGCAACGAATCAAATTCCGTCTCACATGCAGAGCATGAGCAACATCTTCGACATGCTATGTCAAGGCTTTCTTTTTCTCCGCCATATCAGGGTTCTGATCAGGAGACATTGGCTCGAGCGGGAGTTAATGAAGCAAACCATTGCTACGAACAAAGTCCAAACCAGCGTGTCATGAGCCAGGCCGTCCCTTTGAGAATTGAGCCTAATGAAGGTGGCTCTGACGTGCCGAAGACTTTAGCCAGCGAAGCTGATTCCAATTCTATAACTATGAGTGATGTTCTGGAAGGGCTCGGCCTGGAGAAGAACAATGAGCAAGAAGAATTGTTTCGTTTATGCCTCGGTATTGATGAGGATCGTGAACTTCAGCTCAACGTCAAAATTCAAGGAAAATTCGTCGTCACAATATTGTACGCTATCTTTTGCTCTCTCTTCTGGTGACTACCACAGCTAATACAAGAACAGATTATAAGACTTTTCCAATACATATCCAAGCTTTTCTTGATCTTAGTAACTTAGTCGTTGTATGTTACCTATGAATCATAGTCTTATTCTTTCACTAAGGTTTCATCAAGTTTGTCGACAGTCAAGACGGATTTTGTATCCGTCTCAATATAGATGCATATGGAATGGTAGTACAACCCGCACCCGGCAATGTAACACTCAGTAAAGGGACCAAACTATTTCGACTCCACAAGAGAAATTTGTGTATAATAAATAACTAGGCTGTCCACTCTGGACATTTATGCCCACACCATCACTGATACAGCAACGACGAATGTTACGCAAAAGACCGGATAGGTTTCAGATACAAAAATGCCTTTCTACGCCTGTGCGTTCAATTGCGGTCATGACCGAAGCGGAATGGGCAGCCATAATATTGTCATCACTCCGGACCGCGAAACATCGGACCTTTTCTTCCGATTCATACAAGACAACCGGAAGCTCGCAGGAGATTGCGTATTCCACGAGGTCCGACGGCTATCTCCACAGATGTGGACGTGGCATGGGAACCCGGAAGACTGGGCGCTTTGGAATGCAACTTATCATATCAACAAAGGGACAGCGGAAGGCAAGAACCAAGAACACCTGAAGAAGCTCCGGGGAAAAGTCTTCCTTCGACATTACGGAAAAGCGGACCACGTACAGCTTAGCTTCCCGCCAATTCCACACATCGACCATATCAAGGATCATATCTCCGGGGATGTCTTTTTCATCCGCAACAAGCTCTCGCCGGAAAGATATTGGGTAAAGGATGGGACTACCGGGGAAGGACCGGGCGTGGGAAATGTCATCACTTGGACTACAGCCCGTTCGAAGTTTCGAATTCAGCTGGCGATGGGCCACCAGGTGGGGAGGCTGATGGTAGAGGACGACGACGTCAAAATGTCCCTTGTCCTCGACGGCCAGGATTACCCCCTTCAGCTCAAAGACGCGAAGCCAAAAGGAGCTCTTGACACATCGGGAGGGAAGGACCTTGTTTGCAAGTTCGGTGATCTGCTCAACGGGGGTTTCTCGGCTGACAATTACGGGGAATACTTGACGATATTTCATTTCCCCGACAAGTTGAACAATGGGCTTAGTGGGGAGCTCTGGGAACTGGTTTGACCATGAATTTGACACCTCCGCCACTAGCCCTTGAAAATCCGGCTCACGCAGGGCATAATATCCCTCAGCCAATCAGTGCGCCATCAGCTCCGATTAGTACAAGCCAAAGCGCTGATGGAATTCATCATACTGGTTGTTGCGCAGATAAATAGGTATGATATTATCAGAGTGGGTGTTGAGAGACTCTCGTCCAACTGGTGTTCCTTCTATGTATCTGTCAATTGTTAATATTCCTCCTAGGTCATGGAAGATAATCGGTATTGCTGCAAGATCTCGCATCGCTTTAGGACTTAATCTCCAGAAGAACGACGGACTCGATATAAAATCAGTTGAAGCTCGAAATCGACTATGGTGGTCAATTTTCCGCTTGCAACATCTTCTTTCTGTCATGACTGGGAGAGTTTCTTGCTTTGGGGATGCTTCTAGCTCTACGCAAGGTCTATGCTGGCCATGATTTATATTAGCTTGAATTGGTGATTTTGGAAGTGTACACAAGCCAGAGATACAGACTGCTGTTTGATTGAACAGTGCTGTTAATTTACCAATCGCTTTGGGTTGAGGAAGTTCTAAAGCAATATCAGCCCTCAAGCCTAGATTGGTCATAACGTTCACACTTGAATATTTTTGTGGTGGCTTCTTTGTTCTCGCTTTGGGTGAGGTGACGCTACGATCACCCCCCTGGTCCGGCTCATCAATTCTACGTAACCCTGTTCAACTTCATCATAATCTTATGCACATGAGCCAAAGTGAATGTTGCCAGCTCTTTGTAGAGTTTGGGCTTCTCGTCTTCCTCGGCATCCTCATACATGTCTTCCAGCGCTCCCGCATTCGCGTTGATATCCAGATAGGTCGAACGGTCAGTTTCATCTTCGCCGATGCAAACGAGGACGCTTCCAAGCTTGATTAGTAACGCATTCAGAATCAAGCGACACATACGGCCGTTACCATCAATGAATGGATGGATGTTGGCGAAGATGTGGGTGTATTTTGCGGCCAGAGCAATAGCATCGATTGTCCCATCGTCCACAGCTTCTTTGAGGTCGGATTGCAGTTCACGGATCATTCCACTCATCTTGTATGGGACGAGGGAGGGATGGGGAAATGCACGCAGCCCGACACTAACTTCCGCCAAGCGATAAACACCACCATATTCCGCCCATGGGGCGTTTTCGGCATCAACTTTGTATGTGAGAATGCGATGGGTTTCTAGAATGATCTCCTCGCTCAAATTCGCGCCGTGAACACACAGCTGGCTGATTATAAATGCAGCTGCTTTGGCGTGTTGTACAATTTCGTTACGACTGCGTAGAACTTTTGAAGTATTCGATGGGAGGTTTTGTTGCATGAGATGCTGCTTCAAAGCCAAAAATTCTTCGTTGGTTTCCCCGATGTCCTCGGGTATTTCCTCGCCGCCAAATGTTGCGAGGCAGAGCTTGAGCGTAATATCGAGATCACGTCCAGCATGCTCAATCATATTTGATCCGTAGACCATGCGAGCAAGACAGTCCAGGATTTGATGCTCGACGGCGGCTTCTTGGCTGGAGGGGAGGCGTTTAATTCCCGCAAAGACAACCAGCTGTAGTTGCATCATGAATGGGAGATTATGATAGAGGTCAAACTCCTGCAGTCCGATGTTGTTTGCATATGCATCTTCCATCGTCATGGGGAGGAGTGTTTTGGATTGCATAAAGTGCAGTATGAGCTTGCCGAGATTGATAGGGCCTGAGAAGCCATGAGAAGAAGGGGATGCCAATGTCATGGTGACTTGGTTAAATGAGAAAAGCAGAGGATAGATAGGTCCTATCACTTGGAGAGTCATATTTCTAGTTGGTCGGTTCCTGACAAACCATTCGCCGTAATAGGCTTAGCATCGTAAGTAACCTAGGAGGGTCCTACGGTAGATTTGAGCACTAACATGACCCTACCAAAACTAAACCCTTTGCTGCTATCGTCGCCTGTACTAAACCCGAAACTGATAGAGATCTATACCGAATATGGTTTAGCGATTACGCGGGGTGACCCCTATAACCCTATAATGATTAAGATGGTAACCCAACACTCTCTCATCATCATCATACTACTATCAAGTCCAATATTTAATGGTCTTTCTCTACAATAGTATCTCGAGTGCCTCAGTGACAGGGCTCCAGCCATCATCATACTAGTTGGTCAACCTGGGTTACCTAAACAAAGTCCGCTCGCCCTGTATCCGAACTTCCAAGTTTATCCGCCAGCCGACGAAAAATCTCCCGTTTACTCGGATTACAGCTCTGTCAATCGGAATACCCAGACCTTCGACCCTCAGACTTGCACATATTGTTTTCTTATCGAAGCTATTGTCGTGCGTGTAGCAGCAACCACCCGTATCTGCACTCGCACTTATCATACGACGACACTCATGTGGATTGAAGCACTGCCAAATGAGCTACTATATATGATCGCAAAGATGCTACGTCGACAGCGGTACATCAACTCTTTAAGCCGGACAACTCGGCATCTATATTCCCATCTTACTCCTCTCCTCTATTCCAATAATGTGAAGTACGGCAACTCATCTGCCCTATGGTTCAGCGTGTCTCACGACCTACCTGGGACCACTCGACAACTCATCGATGCGGGGGCGGACCTAGAAATCAGAAACAGTTATGGGATGACTCCACTACTCAGGGCCGCCATGGGTGATCACGTTGACGTGGCCAAGGTCCTTATTGAGGGCGGAGCGGATATGAAGGCCCAGCATGAATGGCCGGAAGGCCGTGGGCAAACTGCAATCCACCTGGCGGCATCAAGTGGATGTGGGAATATGGTGGAATTACTCTTGGAGAAGGGGGTTGACTGACTCCGATTTGGTGAATGAATTGGATGATTTCTCGACACCTCTTCACTATGCCGCAGCCGGTCATAGTGTGCTCGTCGTGAAGCTATTGATAAAGAAAGGAGCTCAAATCAAAAGAAGGAGAAGGGACTCTAATGACACACCGTTGAGTCTGGCACTGAGACTTGTATCATATGACTGTATGCTAAGCCGATATTGGGTAACGGCGACGGCATTAACCTTGATAGATATGGGAGCTGACATAGAAACGAAGCAGGGGCTGCATGGTACGCCTCTATTCCAGGCCGCGGTGGGGAACTATGAGCATGTCGTGCGGCGCTTGCTGCAGAAGAAGGTTAATACAGAATCTTTGTTCTTTGACGGGAATGCCGTTAATCCGTTGCAAGCTGCAATATTACGAGGCTGCACAGAGGTGATTCCGCTTTTGGAATCTGTTGTTAACTCCAAACAGGAGAAGCAAGGAGAAAGTGCTTCTGAAAGTCTCGAGATACAGTCTTAGAACGTGGTATTGTTTGCTATTTAGCTTGAGATAGTCAAAAAACCGACTTTATAAAGATTCTTGTTATTTCACCAATCTTGATAGTATTCCAACGGTTTCAGTAAAGTAGGCTTTAATCCAGAAGGCCATCTCGAGTATGGGCAGGACAAAAGTGGTGGATGAATCAACAGATGTTCAGGTTGTTAAGGCGCGTCGCACCTTCCAAGTTCGTAGTCAAAACAAGCACCCTGTTCACCATCACCCTTCCCATCATCTCTCCTCACCAACTTCTTTTACCCAAAGTTTGCAAGTTCCTTGGTCGTCTCATGTCTTGATTTGCGTCCGAGTCATCCGCGAGTCTATCTTTTACAAGAAGCACGTCTGTTGTGTCTAGTCCTCTCTCAGGTCTAGCTTCTCCACGAACGTGTTTCTTTTGTCTAGCCCTCCTCGAGGTCTAGCTTTTACCAAAAAAGCATGTATTGTGTCTGGCCCTCCGCGAGGTCCAGATTTTACCAAAAACACGTATGTTGCGCCTAATCCTCCCCAAGGTCTGAGGTTGACATTGAATAGTGCCTTCGGGGCTGCAGTTATCTCTATTTCTTGCTCTCCCAGTGCCATCGTTTAATATCCGTGCGTGCTGATGGTAATTCACACAGGGTAGAGTGTCATCTCAAGGCGGCTCGCTCGTTCACATGTGAGTAACCCTGACCGTGCCCTCTATTTGCCTTTCTGCTGCCAGAAGCTACTTAATTATATAGAGCACTTGTTGATCGTGCCCCCTCAAGGTCAGCTCGGTAAGAAGCCATTCTTTCGCGCGTTGATTGCTGACTTACATAATGGCGACACGCTGGTGGGATCGGATCAAGCTTCCGCGTACCGCAGAGTCGTGGGTAATGATGGCAGCGATAGAAGAAATAAGTGGCCCTTCTGAACGAAAGAAAAAGAGTCGCAATTTCAAATCGTCCGATGCTGAGATCCCCTCTATCGGAAAGCTGGCCGTTGATGTTCACTTCCAAGATGCTGGAAACTGGGAATCGGCATCCAAGATGCAGCTTGGCCACTACCTTACGGCACACATCATCTTCCAGTTCGGGCCCCCAAAAAGCCTGCTCCAATCCCCGATCAGAGACGCCATCCTATTGTTTAAAGAGTCTGATAACCTCTCAAAAGCGTTTCTGCAGGAGTTTGAGGACTGGAAACTGTACAGACAGAGCCTCAAACAGTTCGGCAGGGGAAGGCCGCAAGCTGGAAAGGCCTCAAATGTCGGAGTATTTACCACCGCGTTGATGGCCAACAGGGCAATTCCTTCTGTGTCCAAAGAAGACCACCACACAGACACTGACATGGAAGGTTCTAGACCTCCATCGAGCCGAATCAGGGCAAAAGGAAGCCTTGCTGGTGCAGAACCTGATGCCATGGATACCTCGGATATCAGCCCAACCCGGGATCGCACGACCGGCCGACAAACATCGTCAGATGAGACAGGAGGAAGTGCCTTGACGCTTGAACCGCTCATACAAGCTCTCAGCATTAACGATAGCGATGATACCTACCAGTCAGACAATGACGTTCTTGAAGATGTCGTGAACCATGCGCTGCTCGATTTTCTCATGGCGCTTTGTGGGACCTGTCCACATGTGTCTGTGGACTAGGAGATCAGCAAGCACAAATTTACAACAGCTCTCGAACAAGGATCCATTGTTGCGATCACAGATGGTCAGCTTCGTCACAGAGGCACAGGGGAAATTTGCGCGCTCCTGGAGGTCAAGCGCTTTCCGTTGCGGACCCATCCAGAGCCTACCCTGAGGCAGATGGGGATCCAAACGTTCTCCTGGATTAAGTCCTGCGAAGACCGCAAAAAAACCAAGAAGACGGTTCGTTATACCCCAGACTCCGTAAGTGATAATCTAACATAAAAGCAGATACTTCATGGTATCGCAGCATCGTGATGAAGTCTTTTTTGTGGTCGCGAGCTACTGAGAAAAAAATTTGGAATACCTCCTCTCCAAGAAAAAATCGCCTGAGACAGTGGAGGAAGAGAACCTCCTCACTCTCTATTGCATAGGGGCCACTCGATATCTTCGATAGCCGGCAAGTTCGTGCTACTGGCCGAATTGGTCTTGCACTCGCGATACAAAGAACAACATGGACAAACAAGCTGGGGAGGACCGCGCGCAGCTAATTGCAGCCTAGAAGTGAATGTTGACAATACTCGGTAGCTTGATTTATCTTCAACTTCAGTTTATATATGATTCGATTGAGAATTAAGCCATTGCCTCGTACTGATGGGCTTTCTTACTACGGCTGAGATGGTTCGGTTTGATAAAACATCAGCCTAACACGCTGACTATTTTGAAGAGGGTGGAGGACCCAGATGCCATGAGCATTGATGGTCCCGGGAGGATTTCCTGTCGCCAGAAGCTGCAACAGATGGAGCCGTTTCCTCCTATAACACGCTGCAACAAAACCAGGAAAGTCCCTCCCTCGGACGCCCCCGCGACTACGCATCAACGACCGGACATGATCACACCAGAGAACGCGATCAACTTATCTTACTGTTTCTCCTGATCACGCTTTGATTAGGTGTACCCGCTGCAAAGGTCGCCTGCAGTCCACGATCAAAAAGGACAAACTCCTGACCTAGGGTTTCCTTTCTCATCCCTCTTCGGCCTAGTAGTAGATTGAAACCATGGACAGAACAAGTAAGCACTGGGCTAGGTTATTTCAGCTTGATGAAGACTAGTGAGCATTGGAAAAGGGAAAATCGGACTTATATTGTCGGCGAGTGGGCCACTAGATCTTCCCCACAGTCCCTTATGCCAAGACAACTTTATTCCGACCACCTTCGTCGGCCCATGCATTGGCAAACGCTATAACCATCTCCCTTCGTCTCCCTTGTATTTTTTGCCGGAGAAATGGGATTTTATGCATTTTCGGGTCCGCAATAAGGATGCAGGGGTGCCGGTCACGTATGCCGTCGGCGGTCGCGTTGCTGGGTCGTGCCCGATCATACCGCGCGAGGTCAGCACTGTCGAGCGAGGCAGAGAAAGGAAAAAGGGATAAGAATAACACGTTGGGAACAGTCCATGTAACTTCTCCTACTATACTAGCGAGATCTGTTCTGAGGCCGGCTTGGAGAGATTGTCGCTACTTGATGTGCTAAGACAAGGACAAGGGTTGTAGCCACTCGTAGGCACGCTTTGCCTATAACTAATATTTCTTTCGTATTAAGACAATATTGTAGGCACCGCTGTATACATTCTTTCGAGCTCGCCGTACGGGGGATTGTCGAACGCTACGTGCTACTTTCCTGAAGTCTCCCTGCATTAGGTACCTGCCTGATTCGGCCACGTCAATAACTGCCAGAATTTTGAATACGATACGTTTCCTCAGGAGTAAGGCTGTTGTGGAGCAATGTTTTTTTCATGATCATTGATAGGCCTGTTCAATCTTGCAGAGATACTGAAGTAGAAGAGGGGCAACTCGGCGAAACATGAGAGCTACAACGGGTGGGGATGCTGGAAAACCACTTTCCTGAGGATTGTGAACTGCATGATATGCAGATGACAGGGCAGCCTCCGAGTCGCCAGTATGGTCTGTGTCGAGGAACAATTGCATTCACCTAACGTGCAGCAGCAATTGCCATCCAACATGGGCCAGGCAATCCACGAACCGAGTCCATTCATTCAGCCGGGGGCAGCTACAGCATTCACTTTCCAGTGGGCAGGCAAGTACTTAAGCCACTGTTTGCTCCTTCCCACCTTCCTTCTCTTATTCCCCCCTCCAACTCTCTTCTCTTCTCTCTTCTCTCTCTCCATTCTTCTTTCCCAGCAGTCTCGATCAGACCTCACAAAGTAAGTCATCCGGACTCACCTCCCTGTCCTTCCCAATATCTACTTTCCATTGCCCTCTGCTCGAGAAGAAGCTCAGAGCAACCGCCATGCCCGCACTCTCGACTACCGAGGCTTGCTAACGCATCATCTGTGACCTGTGAGCAGTTGACCTTACGATTTGAAGACCATCACCATGAGTCGACTCCCACCCAGGGCCCGGGCCCCCTTACCTGCGGGCCTTGACCCGGCTCTCGACAGGCCACCCAGGCCCACGCTTAAGACCGACTTGGTCATCAACGTCGATCTGCCATACACTGCGTACAAGATCAACAGCCCGACTGTGAGTTTTCATAACCAATAACTCCCATACCCAAATCCACTACCCTTGCCTGAAGTCAGCAATCCTGCTGGCTTCTGCGCTGCCCTTGTCGTCCTTGATGCCTCTAATGACTGGGGCGTTTCTGTGTCCTTGTTATGCACACATAAATCCTCCTCTCCCTTTGTTGGCCTCGATTGTCTCGTGTGATTCATTTTTCGTGTTTGCTTCTTGTTTGAAAGATGAAGCAAACCTTCCCAACCACTGGGCAAGCTTTATAAAAGCCCCCAGATATCCTCTGTATCTTTCTCCTCTCTCTGCTCTCCCCTTTTTCTCCATCTTGCCAGCTTCGAAAATTTCCTGCCTCCCGATGAGTGAAACAGACACAGGATCAAAGACCCTCAAGCGGGTTGAAGACTCCCAGCATCCCGAGCCCCCCATCCTCTCCACCCAACATGCGCAGTCCAAAAAACCACTTCCAACGTTCACCCCCATTATGCGAACGATGGAGAAGAATATCCGTGACTGTGATCCAACTGACCTCATTTACAAGGGTGAATTCGGTCTGCTTCCTCCGCTACGCCGCCCGGGTTACAACACGACGGGCAAGGAGGTGGACATTCTTGTCAACGCTTACCCAATCTTGAAATGGCCGACGAAACCCGTCTATCAGTACGAGGTATGTTCTTTGTTTCGTACACCCCATTCCATTTGCTTTGAAATGTAGGATGCGCTGATGCATTAGGATAGGTGAACGTGGTTCAGGGCCGCATCCTGGCAGATGACCGGCGTGTGTACCGCAAGGTCTGGCACAGCGACGAGAGAAAGGCTAAGTTGCCCGATGCAATCTTTGACGGTTTTAAAATTGCCTGGTACATCTTACATCGATATGCTGGCCTTTGATAAGCACTGACCATTCCAGGTCCCTTACCGACTACAAGGATTTCAATGAGGTTATCCTTGATATCAAAGGTGGCGTTACTCGTCCGCTGGAAACGCAGCATGACGAAGGCTTTGCGCCTGAGTCTTTCCGTTTGTCGCTCCGTCGGAACAGGAAGATCGACCTGAGTGTGATCAACGCTTGGCTCCAGGGGAAGCATGATACAGACGAGCATGTACTCGAAGCTTTCAGTAAGTGTTATAGTGCATCGAAGTGCCTTTGTTCAGGCGTGGCTGACTGTCATAGATTTCCTGGACCACCTGCTGCGTTCGTGGCCCAACGACAAGTTTGTGGGCATCAAACGCTCCTACTTCTTTGACAAGCTGAGCGAAGAAGATGAGAATCGCTTTACTATGGATCTCTGCAACATGGGCTGTTCCGTTATGCGGGGCATCTACCAGGCTATCCGACCGTCACCGGTAAGGTCTTCAGCTGTCTGTTGGTATATCTCAAGGAACCTGGTTAACTGTGTTCCAGAAAGGGCTTATGCTGAACGTCGATGTATCCCATGCGGTTTTCTTCTCCCGCATTTCTCTCATGGGAATTATGCGAGGCCTTTACGAACTGCGTGACCCCCAGCAGCTCATGGCTCTTCTCAAGCCTGTTGCCGATGGCTATGGCGGGATCAAAGAGTCGCCTAGTTTCATTGCAATCAACAAACGGATTAAGGGCCTCAGGGTCATGCCAAACTATGATGGCTGCCCATTCAAGGAAAAGGGATTCATGATCGACCACCTGCTGAACGCGAATCCCCGGGAATATCTTCTAGACATCCAGGACAGGGCGACTGGCGAGGTGGAGCGCATCAGCGTGGAGAAGTACTTTTTGAAGAAGTACAACGTCTATCTCCGCTACCCGATGATGCCTTTGGTCAAGATGACAAAGAAGAACTGTCTCTACCCTGCCGAGTTTCTTGTCATCAAAGGCCTGCAGCGGTACCGGTACAAGTTGGTTGAAGAGCAGACCGCGCAAATGATCAAGTTCTGTGCCACCAAGCCTTCGAAAAGACTGGCTGACATTCGCGAATGTAAGAGCCTGCTTCAGCATGACAATGACCCTGTGCTGCGAATGTACGGTATGCAAATTGGCACAAGTATGCTCAAGGTAAAGGCACGAATCCTCCCCAACCCCGAACTTCGATTTGGTGCAAACGGGAAGCACAATCCAGGCACCAGCGGCCGCTGGGACCTTCGCGGCAAAAAGTTCTACATGCCCAACTCGCAGCCGCTGAAGAGTTGGGGTGTCGGCTTCTTCACGGGGAAGAGAAATGCCATCAATACTGACCAGACTCTCCGCTTCATTGACAACCTCATGAAAATCTACGCCGGGCACGGTGGTCAGGTTGTTACTCGCCCTCAGGTCGCGGAGCTCAACGAGGATATTGGCCACGCTATCAAAAAGCTCTATGACCAGACGCAGATGAAGTTCAAGCAACTTCCCCAGCTTCTGGTCATTATTGTCCCCAACAAGGACTCTTTTGTGTACCTGCGCATCAAGAAGTCTTGCGACTGCCGATTCGGCGTACCATCCCAGGTCCTTCAAGCTGGGCACTGCATCAACAACCGCCCCCAGTACATCAGCAACGTTCTGATGAAGGTCAATGCCAAGCTCGGTGGGACCACAGCGCGGGCCCAGTCTCGCCTTCAAGACACCACCTTGCGCCCGCAGTCGATGATCGTTGGTGCAGATGTTACTCACCCCATGATTGGTGTCTGGACTCCTTCCCTAGCAGCCATGACTGTCTCGGCGGACCAGTTTGGCTCTCGCTACATGGGCGCTTGTGAGTGCAATGGAGACCGCGTGGAAATCATTCACGAAGGGAACGTCACCTTCCTTCTGGAACCCCTGATCCGTGAGTGGGTTACTACGGTTGGACAGGGCCGTCCTCCCAAGAACATCTACTACTTCCGCGATGGCGTTTCGCACTCTGAGTTTTCCAAGGTGCTGGAAGAGGCAAAGCACATCAAGCTGGTTGTTGCCAAGGTCTGCAACACTACTCTATTTGAAGGCAAGATGACCGTGGTGATCGCCAACAAGCGTCACCACATGCGCGCGTTTCCCAACCCTGGTGACCAGGGTTCCGCTGACAGGAATGGCAACCCTCTGCCCGGAACCTTGATCGAGCGTGATGTGACCAGTCCCCATGACTGGGACTTCCTCCTGTACGCTCACATTGCTCTTCAGGGTACTTCTCGCCCAGTCCACTATCATGTTATCCTAGACGAGATGAAGCACAAGCCTCACGAACTGGAGAACATGATTTACGACCACTCTTACCAATACATCCGGTCTACCACCTCGGTGTCGATCCATCCTGCAGTCTACTACGCACATCTTATTGCCAACCGTGCTCGTCACCACGAGGATGTCCCTGCCAGCTCCGGCCCTCAGAGTGGCCCAACTGTGAAAATGACCAACCCCAAGCCCAAGGATCGCCCCGCAACCCCCAAGCTCCTCCCCATTCAGGGAAGCGACAATCGTCTGGCTCTGCGGATGTGGTACATTTAAACGCAAACGGTGGAATTCCAACGGATTTCGGCTTATTGACAGATGATGTCCATTCTCTTATCTTTTCTGCTTTTTTGTGTCTCATGGAACAGATCGGCTTGAAGGCCTAGACTGCGATAGCATGGACGACCGGAACTGTTTAGACCCCTTTGGGGGACCGAACGGGGCTGGATGACACGGCTTTGTTGCGAACTAGACGATCGCCTTGAAGCTTCCTTTCCCTTTTCTGTTGCATTTTCACTTGCATTTTAGGTTTGTTTTGCTCTTTCGCTCTTTACAACAAATTGGAATTCTTATCTCGCAATGCCCACGAGTGTAAATCTGTAGATGGAGTAGCGTAGCTATATGGATGTACGGGTACGCCGTCGTAGAACTATCACTTTCCGGAGACGACATTTCATCACCACCGGCGGGAGAAAAAGAGAGTAGTGGGAAAAAGCGCTGCAGAGATGTCTACATTGGAGAGAAACCTTGAAGAACAAAGCTGCCAGTGACAAAAATATTGTATTTATTACACGAAATAATGAGGACGGTGTGATGTGATAACAATAAAATGGACACCTTCGGAAGGATTACCCATTCGCTTGGACCCGAGAAGAAGAGACAACAAGCAAAGGAGAAACGCACAAAACAATAAGGGCCAGGAAGTTGGTTTCTCAGAAATACAATGCCGAAATTAATAGAAAAGAAAAGCGGAACCAAAGACGGCTGCCACCCACCCCCAGAAAACATCACCGTTGCAATCATGATATCGGCTTCCTCCACGAATACCGGTTAAAGAAGAAAAGAACAAAAGGTAGGAAAGGGTGGAGAAGAAAACAAAATATACTCCACCATACCTATCACCTGAAATGCTGCGGTAGTAGACCCTGAAATATAGCGCCCAGTTCCTGGGCCCAAGATGTATGCATGGAGGGAATCGAATGCGGAGGAAAGATATAGAGGAAAAGGTAAAATGAGAATGGAAGCGACGGAAGAAGGGAGGGGTATGGTGCAAGAGAAAAGCAAGGAAAGGATATGAAGACAGCCAGCGCGGTCTATAAGGAATAGGGTGTCCATTACGTGGCCGTACCATTTGCCATGGGGGGGGTTTGATTGATCTTGTTCGTTTGCATCCACGCCGTCAGGCATGTCACCGGTCTTGCCCAAGGAATTAGCCGCGCCATCCGCAGCCTTGCCCTTGGCACCATCTGCGGCAGATGTCTGGTCACCATCTCCATCGGTGGCATTGGGCATGTCGACAGCAGCGCCACTGTTTTTCTTGGCCTTCTTCTTGCTCGGTTCAAACTTCAGCGAGGAGCCCGCACCGGTGGTGCCTGATGGAGCATGTCGTTTCTGGGGACTTGAATTTGCGCCCGAGGTGCCGGGCAAAGGAGGGATCTTGCCAGAAGCTGGGAGACGAGGTCGAGCAGCCATTGGTCGTTGCTTGGGCGGGAGCTCGAGGTCTTCTGTAAGAGGCTCGTCGCCGTTGGCTTCCAGTTTGCCCTTGAAAAACGTCTGCAATAGGCCGATCTGCTCCGGCAGGTTTTCGACGGTGATGCGCGTGTACGCAGGCGGCGACGGGAATAAAACGACATCGCGGGTCGTGCTAGTGCTTTGCGGATTGGCTGCGTTGAACATCCGGTTCTGGAGAAGATGCAGTGGTACGCTGAGTGTGGCCAGCCCAAATTCTCGATCCAGCCCGAGCTCTTTGAACCCGAAGAAATCTTCGTCGATATCCTCAGCGAAGTCACCGCCAACAAATTGTTCACTTCCATCAGCAAAAGCCCTGGACCCGTCCTCGCCACCATCAGCAAGAGCTGGTCGAAGTAGCTCAGCGAGAAGATACTTGAGACGATCGTGCGCGGTGCTGAGTTTTGTCCCGAGACGGTCGACCTCGTCTTTGATGTAGGACTCCAATTCGTCGATCTGAATTCCAACAGAAGACAGCGTGTGAAGGATGATCTCCTGCTGTGTGTAGGCTGGCTTCCATTCGGCTGTTGACGTGGCAGCTTCGTGGGATTCGGTCTCGCTAATGTGAGGAGTTTCCATGTAGGATTTGATGGTTTCGCCGATCTTCAGGAAGAAGTCGGACGCAATGTCCGTAACGGCCTCCAGAGCGGACGGCTGATACTCCTCAAACCCAGTATGATAGAAAACCTTGGCGACGGAACGCTGCAGCGCTGCCCGACAGACGAAGGGAGCAATCACCGGGCCATTGTCATTCATGACATGAGGTTCCACATCTTGTTCAGCAAAAGGCTCGGGGTTGTACTTTTGAAATTGATTTTGATACATCTGAAGTAAGAAAGAGTTAGTAGGTAGTTACCACAAGAGAGTAAGAGGAGGCATACCTGAGACTGAAGTTGCATCTGCTTCACGATGCCAACTTTCGAGCAAATTTTGCGAGTTTCCTGCATCTGCCGCATATTGGAGTCCATCTTTCGAGACAGCTTGCTGTCTGGTTGCGTGAAAGAGCCCTTGGGTAGGATCGTGAGGAACTGCTCAGAGGCATCTACGACATTACCCTGCGCATCTTCTCTCCAAAGTAACTGATCAGGAAGGTTGGGGATACCCGACATGACATCGTAGTAGGAAGGGATCATCTTGTCTTCCTCCGCGTCAATACCTTCAGCGAGCGACTCGCCAGCAGCCTCAGGCTCCATGGCCTGTGAATTAGGCTCTTGGATCTTGCTGGCCTCGATGCTTGCTTGTTTCTGGTGACGAAGCAACCGTCTCATGCCAGCCTTGCTTCGCAGCAGAGCTGGCTCCTCAGAGTTCAACTTGTCCCCCTTGAAGAGACGATGCCGCTCTGCCGCAATGAGTGCTCGATCCTTTTTCGTCACTTGCTTCCACACCTTGTACTCAGGATCGTCGAGTTCGGCGCCAGACACGTCCAGGGCGCTGAGCGCGGTTGTTGATGGCATTGAAGGCCCGTCGATTTCCATTGCGTCGGCTTGGCTTGCTGTTGTACCGGCAGCTGCACCAGCAGGATCAGAAGGTGTGTGTGACCCCGGAGGTGGAGTCGAAAAGCCATTCTGAGAAGACTCCATGGCTGTGTCGGAATCAGCTCGCACGAGTGCGGGTGGCTGAGTGGTAGGCGCCCCGGAAGGACCCTCAGAGCCACTGGGGGTGTTTTGAACAGGTGCGGTGCCTTTCTTAGAAGTCTTCTTGCCAGGAGCTTTCCTGCCACGCGAGGACATTATAGGTTCATCGTCGCTTTCCTCTGCCCCATCGTCGGCAAGTTGGAGTCGACGCTCTTCGGCTTCGACTTCGGCACGATCCCTGATAACGATATCTGGAATGAGAGGGACAAGCTTGTCGGTCTCCTTGCGCAAGTATAATGCATGCTTCCGTAACAAATGTTCAGGGTTCGTGTTGTACTTGAGACAATTCGACCAGATCAGGGAGAGGTCGTCGACAAAATCCTGCTTCGACCTGTACTGCAATGCCTTGAGCTTCTTGGTCATCGTTCCAAGATCCATCGGGTGTTTGATAATGTTGTAGTAGTCAGGCGCATCACGTTTGTTGACCCGAGTCAAGAAAGCCGTCGAGTGCTCCGTCATGGCCTTGAGCTCGCTGAGGACCTTTTCTGCCGCTTCATAGAGCTCTTCCTGGCCGACCTTGTCTTCGCTAGCCCATTTGCTGCGATTCTTGCGCACCTCGCTCAGCAGGCTCCGGAGCTCAGCATCCGACGCGCGGACCATGTCTCTTTTTGAGTCAATGCGGGCGATGAGATTCTTCAACGTCAAGCTGGAAGCTCCGAGATTGGCATTGCTCAACGAACCATATCCACTGGAACCGCCCGCGGAATTATTGCCACCGGCGCTGGCCTGGTTGGACATCTCCGCCTCGACCTGTCGCTCAGACTCCTCCAATCGCTGTTGATCCAACATGGCATCGCGATCGTTCTCGAGGGTATAGAAGAGTGTGTGGAAGCTCCGTTTAGCGGCCTCTTCTGTCGCTTTCTTGTCTTCCTCGAGCTGCTTCCGAAGCTCCTCCGTGGTTTCCTTCTTTGGCTCCTTAGCACCGTCCTCAGCAGCAGACGTAGTAGCATCGGGTTGCTTCTCCTGCGGCGCAACGTCCAGCGACAGCGCTGCGGATTTCGCTTTCAACGGAGACTCCGTGGAATCGGGCATCTCCGTATCGTCGTCCTCATCGTAGTCGTCATAGTCATCGTCGAGCTTGCGGGCAGGTTTCTTCGGAGGCGCGGATGGGGATGCCGGCGCATCGACGCGTTCGGGTTGACTATCGGGCTGTTCTACCTCCGCGACCGCGGCACCGCCAGCCGATTCGTCGGCGGCATAGAGGCCGGAAAAGAGGGTGTTGATTTTCGCCTCGCTGTTGCGATACAGGTCGCGAAATTGTGCAATGCGCGGGTCTTCCTCGACCGCGATATCGGCCTCCGACATGGCGCTCCCGGCGTTCGGCCCGTCGCTGATGGAACCGCGTACCTGGGGAGTGCGCGAGCCGGACAATGTCTTAACCAAGCCATTGACGGGGCGCGGCGAGTCCTGGGTCTCATCGGGAGGTCGGATATTGCCCGGTGGCCAGGCGTTGTGGCCGAGCGACATGCTCGCTCCAAAACCCCGGTTTTCGGGCGGGCGAGACTCGATTCTCCACGATTTAGGTCACGCGCCGATCGAGCTGGATAAGGAGGTTTGGGGGGGAAACAAAAGGCATAGGGACCGACGCCCAGGGTGTAGGAACTGAGGGCCGATGTCAGAAGAGCCCAACAGGATGGCGTGGCGCTGGGGTTTGATGGTGAAGACAAGGGCTTCTGTAGGAAGAATCGGGGATGGGGATGAAGGAAGGGCAGGCGCGAAGGCGGAAACAGGCGGCAGATCAGCCACGCTGTTTGGGGCCGGGGAGACGGCAGCCTGGGAAGCTGTCTGTCCTCTTGACTCTCTGTCGGTCAGGATATTCTATTATGCATCACCCTGGTCTGTAGTGTGTTCTCCCTCTCGGACTCTGTGATTCCCTCCCGATCCTCTGCACATATGACCCCCACCCTCGCAGCTGGGGCCCATTGACCACCGACCGAGCTCTTACTCCGCTTACTACCTCTCTGCCCACTATGCGCATTCGCTATCCATTCGCAGGTGCGCTCCCCCCAGACTCTCCTCTAGCTTCCGACTGACCACGATCTCCAGGTGCTTTCTTTCTCCTGCTCATGATAGCTGGATACCTCGGCCTATTACCTCAAAGTAGCTCCTCAACAATAGCTACCCAGCTCCAAACTCACGACAAGTTTCTACATCTAATCACCTTCTTCCTGCTCTCGCTCGCGTTCTACTGGATCATCGACACCTCGCGCCGGCGCACAGTGAATCTGACCCTTGTCGTCTGCACGCTCGGCTTAGGCGTCGGGTCGGAGTTTCTACAAGGTCTCCTCCCCAATGATCGGGTCTTCGATCTATTCGACCTGATCGCCAATGTGGTCGGCAGTCTTGGTGCCATTGGTCTGAGTGGCTGGTACCATAAACGGATGCTCGAGCGGCGTCGCAAGAGCCGCTTCGGCCTGATGGAGGGTGCCACGGACGACGTCGAACTTGGCGTTGGGGTCGGCGGCGAAGGTGCTCGTGACCGCGAAGGGCTGGGCCCGCAGGAGTCTGGCGTCATGACGCTGGAACAGGAGGTTGATAACTGGGACGAGAACGCAGTGGACAACTGGGACAGCGAGGATGGCCCGGCCCCGCCAGAGTCACACTCGGCTACGCCAGCTCACAAGGAGGAGCGCAAGAATAGCACGCCTGGCGAGGTATCCGCGGAGACTGGGGCTGGAAAGCGAGCTGACTAGATTTACTCTGAAAATATTCCTGGCGAGAGGAGTTGTTGGGAGCCGGGACTGGATCGTCTTATTTCCCCTCGATTATGATTATGGATTTATGCATTGATCGGTCTGTCTCGAGTTCGTATGATACCGTTTGCGACATTCTTTCTTGCCTAGCCGAATGGTATTACATATAAGAAGCGGGCTGTTTGTTATCGTGACGTTCTTTCTCGGTATATATTCTGGGCCGTAAATCCTGTCCGGTTGTTGACTATGGAGTTATTCATAAGCAGGCATTCGTGCTTTGAGAGGAATTCGGCAACTGCGGCTCAAACTGGATAAGATTGAACGACCGAGGGGGGAAACGTGCTAGTATACAGCAATTCTAATGCGAAACTAACAAACCCAACCAGCCAGAAAACGAGGTAAGGGAGGCTATACAGAAAATCGATAATGCAAACTTGGGGTATTCCACAATAACAACTGGGAAGGTATAATCAAAAATGGGGAGAACCATATAACAGAGAAGGGCCGCTAACGCAGAAAAACACGAAACGCCGGAAGCCATGGTACAATGCAATGGAATGAAAATATTGTTCAACTGAAAAGCCAACTTTGGCGATCCCTGATTCGGAGACAAGGCACGTTGAGGGAGCAGATGAGGAGTCGGAGAGCATGCATTTCTCCATTATTCATTATCAGAGACCGGGGGCGTGCCAGACCAGCTCCGGAGCGGAGTAACAAACCCATCTGAGACTTCCTCCAGTTCCGGTTTGGGTGGCGGCAGATAATCCGCCTGATCACTCAGTTTGGCGGCCTTGGGAGACCGCTCCTCCGAGACACTGCTGACTTGGAGCTTGGGGACTTTGCCCAGCTTGCGATCAGTCTGCTCACGGAGGACCTCGTAGATGAACTGCATTTGCATTTCATTGTACACCATCATCATTCGCTGTTCGCGCATTTGGTTGACGGTTTCGAAGACTGGGTCTACCTCCGGGTCCATTATCTTCAGCAGCTGGCCCGACTCAAGCTCGCGCAGCAGGTGGTCGAGCGCAATGAAGGTTCCTGTCCGGCCAACGCCAGCGCTGCAGTGCACGATCCGCGGGTTATCCGGGCTGGATTTGGAGGCTGAGAGCCTGATCAGTTCGAGAAGCGCGTCGCGGTCACTCCCCTCTGGCTTGGAGTAATCGGCCCAGCCGCCAAAGAGGAAATGCCATACGATCTTCGATTCTGAACCGAGAGTCAACTCCAGCTTGCGGATTTCGGACCGCGACTTGGCATCAAAGACCAGCTCCAACAATGTGACTTTTCCCGGGGCCTCTGTGTGGGATGTGGCCGATGGATCGTTGGCCACCAACGGGTCGGACTCGCCCGCTGCCGAGAAGTTCATTGAAGCCTGCTCAGTGTCCAAGGGGAAATACTGGGCGCACTTCTCCCGCCCCGATTCAAAGGTCTGCGTGAGCATGACAATCACGCCCACCTCCTTGCTCTCATGGAATACCATGTGCCAAAAATCCGAGAGATGTCCGAGCTTGGGGCCCTAATGAATGGTCAACCAGATGGCGCTGCGTCCAGCATGCAGACGCCACTCACCTGCGTTGCGATATAGTTCCGCTGCTCCAGCGTGACTGTATCCTTCAAAGTAATCGGGGACGCGTTGATGAAGTCACACTCGCCGTCAGGCACGTGTAGATGGATGCGGCGGTTGGCCCAGGCCTGCACGTTCATATAGCGGTTCCTCGCCCTGACCTTGGGATCGGTCTCGAGCGCCCAGCGGTGCAAGGGATCGTTGGAGAGCGCGCCTTCGGCCAGACGCGTCCGCTGCATCCATTCCAGATCGTCAAACTTTTCGTGAATTTCTGTGTCCGATCGACATACATAGCGGTCAGCCCAAATGCCATCATCCCACGTGCAGCCACCACGTATTCTCCGACAGGACAGAACGTGCGCTCGCTCTCACTCACCAGCCACAGATTGCCGCAAAAACGGCGGGATGCCCTCTTCGTCCGCTCCTAACCCAGTGTTGTGATCGGTCACCACACCCAGGCCCACCTCGCTGTCTTCCAACCCCCGCTTGGTCTGGACGTTGGTGTCGATCTTGATGGCCGGATGCGCCATCTTACCCGCTGCGATGCGCCGGAGTCCTCGAACTTTGCCGATGACGCCGCGCGCTTTCCTCGAGACTTCCTTGCGCTTGGAGCGTCGTTGGGGAACCCGAAGGTGGGGTGATTCGGGCGAGGAGGGACGCTCGGGCTCAGTATTGATGTCGCCCTCGATGTCGCTAGCGAACTCGGCGGGGCTCACGGGCGAGGCAGGATAGGATATCTGCAGCGACGACAGATCGGGACAGCTATAGAAGCTGTCCCGGGAAGAGGCGTCCAGGGCCAGGATTATGATGCGGGCGGGCGTCGAGGAAGCCGGAGAGAGCGTCGCAATAAGGGGATTGTGACGGAGGGACAAGCAGACCAAAGGCAAGTCAGTCGGAGGAATTGGCGGAGTGAGAGATGAATTCGGTAGAAGTAATCATGGCAGGATCTACCCCGGGTTCGATGTAGATTAGATCATTGCGTCCTATGGAGCTACCCAGTACTAAGTAAACTATTGAATCCGGCGTGGTTGTTTCCGGCAGGTGATTTTGTCAATCTTGGTTCGGCAGGAATCCGCCGTCCCGAATCAACAACCCCAAAGAACAATCCCATGGTGTTGGACCAACAAATCATTATTGACCAACTCTAATCTCTTCCCTGCTGTTGCGGGATCAGGGCCCAGGTGTTGACCACCCTGTCCTACCACACCAGAGACCATGGTCTCCCAAGCCCAGGTTGCCGATCGCGCTGCAACCATCCAGAGCGCCTCGTCCATCGTGTCGCGTCCTTCCCACCGGCGACACCGTTCCGGCCGTTCGCACCACGGGGGCTTGTCGCACCCGTCGCCCAACGACTTCCCCGTCTTCACGTATACCGGCGACACCGAGATCGTCATCCGCATCGGCGCTCAGGAGAAGCGCTATCTGCTCCACCGGCTAATACTCGCGCAATGCTCGGGCTTCTTCGAGGCAAGCACCAACGAGGATTGGTCGCGGCAAGCGGGCACCGTCAAACCAGAGGGCTCACTGTCTCGCGTCAGCGAAGATGACTCGCTATCCAACGGGTCGACTCTGGCGCAGTCAGATCACGGCACCCTCCCCTTGCGTCCGGGCGAGAAGAGGCGATGGCGATATGAACTGGATTGGGAGAATCGCGCGGAGGATGAAGAACCCATCCTCGTGCAAAAGGTAGGTCCTGCACATGTCCCTGTGTTGACAGAAATGCTCATATTTTGCTTTTGCGATGACAGCCACCGACCTATACTACGTTCTTTGGGAGCGACCCCGGCCCGTTCCTCCCCGCGATGACCAAACCATCCAACGCCCAGGCAGGCTTCTTTCGATCCATGGCGAACCTAACGGGCATGCAGTCGGTAGTGAACTTACCGCAGGCGCCAGCAACAGACTATAACAACTTGGACCCTTTGCTTCGGGACTACGAGAACATGCTACGCATTTTCTACAACCACCCTCCCCTCCTAAACAGCGTCAATATTGCCTCCGCCTACACCGAGTGCAGGTCTCTCCTAGCCTTGGCCGACATGTACGACGCGCTACCGGTGACGGGCCCGCGCGTGGACCACCACCTCCTCGGCTTTGGATCCCGCCTCTTCAAGCAGATCGCAAAGTACCCGCCCAGCTACCTCAAGCTTGGGTACTTAGCACGCAGCAGGGTCATCTTCTCCGAAGCTCTCATCCACGTTGTTGGGCAGTGGCCCGCCGCGTTGCCGAATCTGCGCAACGGCTCCTATGCGCCCCTGCCGAATGCCGTGCTCGATCTGATTGAGGATAAGGTCGAGGATCTGGAGGATCTCAAGGCGCGAATAGAGTCCAGACTCTTCCGACTATCTCTCACCACCTCGCGCGGCGAACGTGTTGGCCCGAATAACGCGTACTTGGACTGGCTTGCCGTCTCTTTATTCCGCCAGTGGCTCATTGAGAATACGACACCGCGACCTACCTCCATCCTCAAGAACTCAGGAGGCAGTGGCTCCTCACAACCGAACAATACGGCCTCGTCAAGGCCATCGACCCCACCTGATCAGACAGCACGGGTGTATAAACTGATCGGATCTTCATCAACACAGGCATACCTCCCTCACGACGAGGTGAAGCGCTTTCTCAAGATCCACCCCACACCGTCCGCGGACTCCTTGTACACCCGCGAGACCCTCAAACGCTTCGAGCGCAAGATGGACGAGCTCAAACGCCTGGCGCGGGATATCGTCAAGCCGCTTACGCGCAATTTCCTTGAACTCGAGCTGAAAGCCAGCGCTGAACCAGCGGCCGGTCCCGCTGCTGCGCGCGACGCAACTCTTGTGGGGAGATTGCCCTATTTGACTTGCACCCGGGTCGAAGAGGCGGATCTTCCCTGGACATAATAATAATGATCTCGACAGACTTTCGTCGATCCTGCCGCTCTGCTTAATGCTCCCTGCTATACGTCGTCTTTTTTATCCTTTACGGCATCGCGCGATTCAGGCTGCTGGTCTGCCCTGAATCCAAACCAATTTCTTTCCTGTTCTCTCATCTCTCCGCGCTGACCGTTTTTGCCCAAGATAATGATGTGTATTTTGCTTTGATTTATGCCCTGTCCTGTCTTTCTGCATGTGCCCATGAAGTGATGAATATTTCCTATGCTTGCTGTTTCTTACCGCCTGTTCCTTAATAATACCCTGGTCTGTGTCTTAGGTATACGAGTAGCCAGCCTGATGATAATGATAGAATGATTCATGTTACTATCCTACAGAAAAGAGCCTAGGCAGTATAATACAAGCATACGGATGTGCAGAACTCAACGCCCACCAATCGTCTCCATCCCATCCATCCACGGCCTCAACACCTCAGGGATAACGACAACCCCACGCTCCGCGTCCCATCCATTCTCCAGAATGGCCGCCAACACGCGCGGGACAGCCATCGCCGTACCATTCACCGTATGCGGGAACCGCGACTCCTTCGCCGCACCGCCGCGCACGCGTGTCGCCAGCCGTCGGCTCTGGTAGTCCGTGCAGATGGAGGCGGAGGTGACTTCGCCCCAGGCGGACTCCAGGCCCCCGACATCTAGGCTGGGGGTGGGATCCGAAGGCGAAGCTGAAGGACGGAGACGCGATGGGAAGAGCGCCTCGATGTCGCGTTTGCGGCTGGCACTGGCGCCTAGGTCTGTGGTTGGCATTTCCAGCACGCGGCAGGGGAGGTGCAGCGAGGAGAGAATCTCGGTTTGGATGTATAGCAGCTCGGTGAAGAGGGCGTCAGATGGTGGTGTAGGCGCGTCGCCTGCAGTGGAGGCGGGATTATCGGCCCAGCCGAACAGTTCCACCTTGGTAAACTCGTGCACGCGGTACAGACCCTTCGTGTCGACGCCGCGCGAGCCCGCTTCGGCGCGGTAGCACCGGCTTGCCCCGACGAGCTTGACTGGCAGCTCGGCGGCGTCAATGTCGCGCCCGGCGTACATAGCCGCGAGCGGGATCTCCGCCGTGCCAGTCAGAGAACGAGGCGGCTTAATGTGGCGGTCTCGCTCGCTCTGCTCGATTGACCAGATCTGCTGCTCGTTGTGCTGGTCGCGCGGCTGGAATCCGCACGCTTCGGCGATGTGGGAGTAGACGATCGACGGCGGTGCAACGACCTTCCACCCGCGTCGACGGGCTACGCTGAGCGCATACTGGACCAGCGCTTGTTCCAGCATCGCTCCTTCGTTGATCAGGAAGTACCATCCCCACCCCGTTGTTGTGGCCGAGCTTGCAAAGTCAATGAGTTTCAGGTCTGTCCCGATGGTGACGTGTGACCGCGCCTGGAGCTCTGTTGGCGATTGACCGGTCCATGGCGGTGGTGCTTGCGGGTCAAAATTGAGGTATTTGACGAGGCGAGGGTTGTCGCCGATTGGGGTTTCGGGGGAGGAGAGATTCGGGAGGGAGAGGGCGAGGCGACTGATCTCTTCGGCGCAGGCTGTTTTGCGAGCTGTCATTGCATGCGACTCGTCTTTCAACCGCTGTGCTTCTGAGCGGAGCTCCTCTATTTTTTTCTCGGTTGAGTTCTCAGCCTTGTTTCCATCGTGTCGCGCAGCCATGAACATCTGCGCGATCGTCTTCTCCAGTTGCTTGATCTGAGTTCTGGGCGCCTTCAGGCCGAGATCCAGCTCGCGTGCCTCCTCGGAGAGGGTTTGGATGCGCGACGGGTACTCGGCATGCGATGCGTAGTTGCGTTCGACGCAGTTCTTTGCGTAGAGGTCTACATTCTGGCGGATGTGCTTGACGTCCGGGGTGGGTTTCGGAGCTGTCGCGGGTCGCACCACTTGCTGTCGATTAGGCGGAGCCGATGAGAAATACCGGCTCAGGGGTGCACGGGTCAATCCGCGCCTGGACGTAGCCCTGCAATTGAAGCAGATGTAGGGAGTAGGCGCCATGGAGAAGGAGGAAGAATGACAAAGTGGAACTGCCGAAAAACAGCGAAACGGGAGGATCGGCCGCCTTTCCTGTTTGGGACGGACATCTATAGCACAACCACAACTATACGGACTACCTTTTACGCAGTTCTTCCACCGCTCCATTCCTCACATAAGGGGTATTTGGCTGACTGCTACCTAGGTAGGTACTTGATAGCCTGGGAGGAGAAGGTTAGCGATATAATCATTATTAGGCTTCTGTAAAACAGACCAGGCAGTAACCGCAGCACCATGGGATGTGCAACCCACGATACTACCTCAATGGGATGTGCGAGTCTCGGTGTGTACCCTGTGCTTCTCCAGAATCTTCCGGAATCACGATAGACCGAGTATTTACTGACTCCGGCAGGCTATGATGAATGCGTTTTGAACACTCAAGTCAGTAAAGTTCGTCATGGCTCTCCTAGGAGTCCTGTACCAGCCGTCTGTCGGCGCATGGATATATCTGGCTGTGAGTATAGCTATCCATGCCGTGACACTTGTTAATCTACCTTTTGTACACAGATTGCCGGTGTAGTCTTTGCGCGATGGATCTACAATCTATACTTCCATCCTTTGGCACCATATCCAGGGCCGATACTCGCTCGAATTTCCTGGCTATATCATGCCATCTACACATACAAGGGAGCGCTGGCAGAAAACACCAAGCGGCTTCATGGCAAATACGGCGCGGTAGTCCGAATTGCACCTAATGTAATATCTTTTGACGATGCACAGGCGTGGGAGGATATCTACGGCGAGTACTTGAGTCGTCCTTAAAATTGTTCGTATCTAACTTAGATCAGGGAGAGCACAAGGAGGCGCCTACGCGTTTGTAAAGGATCCTGGTAAAGAGTTTAGACTGCCAAATTCTCCACCGTCTATTGGATTTGCACCAGAGACTGTCAGTTAAACATTTCTTATTACTGGTTGATCGCTGACCTTTCCATTTAGGCGCATCGGCGATATCGTCGCATTCTATCATATGCCTTCTCCGACAAGGCCATCAACGAACACGAACCACTAGTTCTAAAAGGTATCGACTCATTGATGAGTAGTCTGCACAAACAGGTGGACTCGTCCCAGGGCGGATTTATAGACATCGAGAAAAGCATGACTGCAATCATGTTCGACCTCACCACCGATCTCTCTTTCGGCGAGTCGTTCAACAGCGTCACCTCGCCCGACATCAGCCATCCATGGATGAGTCTGGTGACCAGCTCTCTGAGAGGAGTGAGCGTTTATTGCGCGATGCGCCGTCTGCTGCCGCACGGCTTATGGCCGTTCGTTGATCAGATGATGGGGAAAGCTCCGAAAGGCTCAAAGGTGGAAGCAATGAATTTCGCCAAACAAATGGTTGGGAAAAGACTGGAGAACGTTGTTGATCATAAGGATTTTATGACATATATGATCGAGTATGTGCTTTATTGAACCGCCAAATAGACATCGCTGATGATCTCTAGCTCTCATGGTGTACCGGACGGCTTGAGTCGTCCCGAAATCGAACGACTCGCGCTCAGTTTGGTCATTGCCGGTTAGTCCCATCATTTATGTGGAAATATAAGATAGTAATGGTCTACTTCAAAGGGAGCGACACTACCTCTACGCTCCTTTGCAACGTTATCTATCGCTTAACCCAACACCGAGATGTACTCCACGAGCTTCTAATACAGATTCATGAGACAGCCTCCCCATCCGAAATCAATTTCTCGACCGTGAAGAAAATGCCATATCTCACAGCAGTGCTTGAAGAATGCCTTCGAATGCTTCCTCCTGTACCAAATGTCTTCCCTCGGGTCGTGCCTCCCGAAGGCGCAACCATCTGCGGCCACTTTGTGCCAGGAGGCGCCGTAGTTGGCGTGAACCAGCTTTCGGCGAACATGTCGAGCAAGCACTTTGCACACCCCGAGTCATTTCTTCCGAAGCGATGGTTGGGTGGGGATGAGTTCTCAAATGACAATAGAAGAGCGAGAAAGCCGTTTAGCTATGGTCCAAGGAATTGTGCTGGACAGAAGTGAGATACATATCTCCCACTCTTGTGAACTTCTTTAACGTTTCGTTAATAGCACCGCCTATATGCATTCCAAACTGATCATCTCGCGGCTGGTATCCGAATTTGACATCGCCCTGGCACCGGTCTGCTTGGATTGGCCGCAGAGATGTAAAGGATATGATACCGTGGAAAAGCCGCCTCTATATGTTAAGCTATACTCCAGACAGAAAGGAGCGAAATAGATTTTAATTGGAATTATCCAAGCAGAGTATGACGAATTGACCTTTGACTTGGAGGCTTCCTCTGCTGTGTTGTGACACAAGGTTTTCAGGATAAGTTACTCCTGGGGAAACTGGGAAACTCGAATTGCCGGATTATTTGCCCATTTCGTGACAGAAAATACAGGTATATGCTACAATTGCAGAGCCGAGAAATTGTATTGCTAGACATGGACGTCTCATGAACTCATCAATCAATCGCCATTCCGAAAACCCTCGTCCTCCCCATCCGTCCTACCTAGACATATTCCTCAGTCATACCATCTCAGAATCCCAACTTATGTTTCTTAATCCGGGCGCCCACGCCAGCTAGTATCAGAACGATAGCAACCAGAGTAGCCCACAGAGGGATCCGCAGCGTGGTCAGGTTGTAATCCGTCTGCGTCGCTGCCACAACAACCGCCATCTCCAGCAGTAGCAGAACATATCCGGCGATACGGTGGTACTTGTAGAGTCTTTTGCCTGCGTCCACACTTCCGAGTACGAGACTAGGGACAAAGAATTGCACGACACCGCCAAGGGTCTGTAGTGCGATACAGATGTAGGTCGTCAAGCCGAGGATGCCGTGCGGCGAGGTGAAGTGCGGGTGATCACCCTTGTTAAGCTCGATGATAGTGAATGCGGATATAAAGCATGCGACACTGAGCAGTTGGATTGCGGCGTGGATGCGGGCGCCGTTGAGCTTATGTGTCGGCGTTACGGTTGGCTGGACGATGAGCGCGGCTTGGACTTGCAGAAGAATTGCGGAGACGCTGAGCATCTGGTCCGTGGAGAGGCAAAAGTAAGTCGGATCCTCACACAGAGGAATATATTTGCGCCTGAAGGGACAGAGTCACCTACCGGGTGTGGCGAGAAAAGTGACAGCGGCTGCGACAGAACCCCCGACCAGACCAATGCGGCCAACTGATATCCCTGTTAGCGAGCCCATGACAACTTGATCGCAGGTAAGAATCACTGACAATCCAAATGCCGGCCTGAGCTACACTCGCCGTGCCTGCCGATTTGATAGTGTCAACCTCTGGAGTTTCCCGAGTTATCGTTACTGGTTCTCACCCGTTATGAGGTTGCGAACAACACTCTCGCCCTCTTTCTGAGCGACATCCCCTGGGCGACCAAGTAAAGGCTCATTATCGCGTATATCAGCGGCCACCGAGTAATCTTGATGAATGCCTGTAGTCGAATCCATCTTGTCCAAACTCGAACGCTTCTTGTGAGGTCGGGGTCGTCGCTACCGAATAAAAATAATGCTAAAGGATCAAAGAAAAGCCGTAAAATGAGAAGGACCGCGGGGTAAATTATTTGCCCTGTATCAGAGATATCTAGCCATGTTCATCGCTCTAGGAGCACGGCAGACCCAGCGCACGATTTCAATAACTATTGATTTTGGCGTGATCACCGCTTTGGATGACGATTAATCCCAGCAATGTGGAGCCGAGGTCACCAGTCAGACGAGGATGGTTGTCAATGACTGGCGCAGGAAAGAGACAGAAAAAAAGCAATTGCAATAATCACACCAACAGCAGATGCCCCTCGCATCTTCATCTCAACCGCTGGGCGAAGACCACGGGTCCGTTCGAGAAGCGGTCATGGATATCCCGGTTACTCTTCGTCTTATCCTTTGACTCGCTGGTCTGCCAGTTTTCCAGCTGACTGGCAAGCTCGTCCATGGTTTTGGAAAAGTCATCGTTGTCTTTCTCCCTGTCGAGCGTGAGATTTTCCATCTGTCGCGCGGACACGTCCATCTCTTCTGTAGTTCTGGAACAGCGCCCCGAGTTGTTCTTGGCTGGGCTGCTTGGCTCGTCGACTCTTTTCACAATAGCGGAGCATTCGCTGCGGAAACGGAGGCTCAGTTCATGCATCCTGTCTTTTTCCTGTCTATTGTTAGCTTATCTTGTTAATCTGCTGGGCGAACTTGCTGTCTTCCCCTGTTGCGGGTGTGTATACGGAGAAGAGGCCTACCTCGTTGGCAAACAGGTCATGGTGAGGTTCAATGACACCAGCAATGCAGAGCAGCAGTTGAAAGTGATAGCGACTCCGCTGAGATGGGTTGAAAGATGCCAGCTGAAGACTAGTAGAAGACTGCGGCCCTGTCCTAATTTATGTGAATTCACTCTCTGCGACAATAGAGCAAATGAGGCGCCCATATGGGTGGATATGGCGGCATTTCCCTACATTCAGGCTATTGTCTCAGGGACAAAGACAATAGTGAATACAATGCTATTGATATTGACACACACTACCAGGGCATCCTCAACACAGCTCCTTGCTCCTCCGACCCTGGACGTCCAAATATCACTTCTGCCCCAAGATTCTTCGGGTCAAGGTTCATCACAATGTTAAACAGCGTGCTGCTTCGAGAAGAGACATGGCGACTGGGATCCTCCTGGCAACAGATTGCCTGAGGCGCATTATACGTATCGGAGAAGATCCGTTCTCGCAGCAGAGCAGGCGTGATGGCATCTCCCTTCACCCCCTTCTGGAGCAGCTCATCTGTCAACTTCCCCAGACGTTCAAGACGGATGGGGGATCCCGACAGCCATGGTGGCTCGTTCACATATCGATTCTTGATAAAGTGGTTGGTGTGTCCGACCAGTCCCGACGCGTCCTCTGCGATATGACTGTCGCCCACAGGGGATAACTCAAGTCCTACTGCTGTTGTGCTGTCTGCCACGAGAATATGCTGTGCAGATGCAACGCCGCCCAGAGATTCGAGTGTCCTGATAGCGCTTTTAACTGAGATACTCTCCAGGCACAAGCGAAGGGCGACGTGGATCGGAATTTTATCACTGATCATTGGTTTGGCGCGGATTGCATTCAGGCACGTCCCTACGCCGGCGGAGTTGAAGCCAATCTTCCCCACGATTCCGGCCTGATAGAGACCAACTGCATCAGCAAGCGCATCCCGGCTAGCCACTAGAGAATCAACTCACCTCAGTCACCATGTATATAGTCGGCTTCCCTACCTGCTCAATCGAGACCATGGCCAAGTTCGTCCTCACCCGCGCCGTCCAGTCCCAGTTCTGAGACAACACCCGAGCATTCTCACCCTTCTTCCAGGACAAAGTTGTGCATCCGTCCGAAAACTTGCCTAGCGCTATCTCGCTGCGGCAGTTCAGGGCTACCACGTCCAAAATGTCCAGCTCCGCACCCTCGGCTATGCCCTCCATTTCGGCCAGAAGATGCGGAGTTAGTTTTGCGAGTGCCGGCTGGAATTCTTTGGACACTTCGCGGACTTCCGGCCATGAGAGCTTGGAGGTGTTCTGGAACATCTCATCGTAAATGGCAATCTGGCTGCGGATCTGCTCCCGAAGTGCGCGGCCATGTTCGAGGCCGATCTATATCGAACAAAGTTAGGTATTGTAGAAGATACGCAGTTGTTGGAAATATACCTCGCGGGGGCTGCCCTTTAAAGTGAGTTTGGGAGGGTCTGGTACTGGAGGCATGCTGAATTAGGGCTTCGGAATTTAAATGTATGAATGGGCGCGACGCTCCACTTCTGATACGGGAATCAGGAAGCTTTATACTCGATCGTTATCAACAGCCGAGGCCCCCTCACTTTCTTGTGGGGCGTAGCCGATAAGTCATTAATCATCGTTGGGGTCAAGACAATGAACCCCAATACAGAAAAGGAAACTCTACGCTATAGCAACAGTTGCTTCTGACCAGTGAAATGCAAGACATCTCCAACCGCCTCGTATTATAGAATCATAACATCCTAGAAAGCTTTTTCCTCGGAAGCTTTGTCTGACTGTATATTGGTCCGAGTCTTTACAGACTATGAGTCTTGAATGAGGTGCTTAAACAGCTTGTCGAGATAATAGGCCGACTGCTTGGGATGTCGAGTTTTGTTTTCCGACTCGAAGTCAATAAACGTGCAGCCAAAACGATCCTTATACCCGGCCGCCCATTCTATGTCACCACAGAGTTAGCCTTCCGTCTAACAGAATACTTTTGTTTACTTACCCCAATTATCAGCAAAGGTCCAAGCGAAGTAAGACCGGATATCAATGCCGTCTTCTTTCACGGCTCGCGCCAACGCATTGCCCACATAACCTTCGAAGAATTTGATACGGAACTGGTCGTTGAGAACCTCTGGCGTCGGAGCAGTTTCTCCCTTAGCCGTAGTCCCGTTTTCAGTCATATAGATTGGCGTCTGGTATCGCTTCCAGATCCAGTTTAGCAGCTTTCGGAATCCCCAGGGTGCAGCTCGCAGCCACTCCGTATCGCTCTCTTCTCCACGGGGTACTCCTTGCTTGTTTTCGTCATGAATCTCCACGTTACCCTTGTGATCATTGATATCTGGCGGCGTATCCTTGTGCTTCATGAAGAATGTCGTGTAAGTGTTCATCCCGTAGAACTCAGAGCTTCCAAGTACAAGCTTCGACTCCTCGGCCGTGAACTTCGGCAGTCTATCACCCAGTTGTGCACGCATAGAAGCAGGATAGTCACCCGTTTTGTATATCGGGTCCGCAAACCAGGCGATCTCAAACTCGCGCGCCCGTTCCGCAGCTTCTTGATCTCTTGGGTCCTCCTCATCCCAGGGTTCAGACCAATTGCCGTGCAATGTAATCCCAATTGTCCCCTTTTGCTGTGGCTGGAACTCTTCACGATACATGCGGGCGACATGCCCATGAGAAACAATTTCAGTGTGCGCGACGATAAAAGGTTCTGTAGAGGAGTCGCCCACGGCGTTGCGGTCTCGAAAAGACGACCGACCTGGGGCGTGAACTCCAGCCGCATACCCGGCCAGCGTATAAACACCTGGCTCATTGTAGGTAATCCAATGCTTGACACGGTCCCCGAATCGCTCGAAACACACCCGTGCGTATCGTACAAAATCCGTCGTGTAAGCGGCCTGGTTCAACATCCCACCGTACCGATCTTCTAATGCTTGCGGGGTATCCCAATGGAACAGGGTAATGAAGGGTGTAATTCCATTCTGTAGAAGCTCATTGATCAGGTTATTGTAGAACTGGATCCCTTGTTCGTTGACAGGGTCATCGTGGCCGCCCAGTGGGATAATCCGTGACCAGGCCAGCGAGAATCGGTAAGCATTGACACCATACGACTTCATCAATGCGACATCTTCGCGGTAGAAGTCATACGCTCTCGTCGCATCGTCCGCGGTACTTCCATCGGAGATTCGACCTGGCGTATGCCCAAAGGTATCCCAGATCGACAGGCCTTTCCCATCCTTATTCCAGGCGCCTTCTATCTGGGCAGCTGCTGTGGCGTATCCGTGGTAGAAGTCGGACCGAAGAACGCCCTTAAGGTCTTGCACAGAAGCCAAGTCCATTCTGGCGGTTCGTGAGATTGGGCTTGTAAGTGTGGCGGTTTAGCAGCCCTGGACAAAACCAGACACGTGAAAAAAATGGTGTTTATTCGGTTAAGATGTATTCGATGCCCCTCATTATTTGAATTGCCCCTCATTTAAATCTGACCTGTTTACCCAGCTGACATGGTCTTTGTAGGTGGGTGCGGACCTTAGGTCCGTTATTGTTTGGGGATAGCCTCCATCGGGATTGGTGTGGGGAAGCTATATCCCAGATCTATGGGAAAAGAAGAAGATTGATGGCTTATAATAGTCACCACTCGGAAATTTACTGCTTTAAATACCCGATTATTTTGCGCGATTCTAGCTTTCCAATTTATCCGATCTATGGCGCATCGATTCTATGCACACCTGGTCCCTCGATGTGGACTTGCAATCCATCATTGCCGGGTAAAAAGACCAAAACATGCTTGCCCAATGTCGAATTGATGGTCACAGCACCAGTGACACGCCCATTCTCCCAGCCGAAATCTAGCTCAAAGCCACCGCGCGCTCGTACGCCGCGAATCGAACCTTTCCAATCCTTAGGGCACGCTGGCAGGAGCCGAATAATCCCCTGCTCGTGAGACTGAATCAGCATCTCAACAATGCCTGCGCCACCTCCGAAATTTCCGTCTATCTGGAACGGTGGATGGCTATCCAACATATTTGACAGAGTAGATTTGGACAAGAGCAGGTCGAGATGCTTGCTGCAGTCGTCGGCTTCCAATAATCGTGCGTGCAGATTGATCAGCCACGCACGGCTCCATCCTGTATGCCCACCGCCATGCTGTGCACGTCGACGCAAGACTACTCCACAGGCATTGGCAAGCTCTGGGGTCTTAGCCAGGGTGATGGCGTTGCCGGGATGTAGTGCCCATAGATGAGATGTATGTCGATGGCCGGGCTCAAATTCGGCATAGTCAGAAGCCCATTCTTGTAAGTATCCTGAGTTACTGATCGGCATTGGTGGTAGTCGGGATCGTGTGGCGCGGACTTCGGGAAGGAGAATGTCCTTAATATCTAGCTCTTCGTTGCAAGATATGAAGGCTCCCAAGATGGCGTCAACAATCTGGATGTCAACCGTCGAGCCTTCGCATAGAACTCCCTTCTCCCCATTGTGATCGTAGAATGTATTTTCCGGAGATAGTGACGGGTTTGTAACAAGGTATACGCCCGCTGCATCCTCGATCAGAAAGTCTAGGATGAACTCTACACATCCACGCAGAATCGGGAGCATGCGCCGGAGAAAGCTCTCATCCCCAGTAAAACGGAAATGGTCCCAGATATGATAGCAGAGCCAAGCACCACCAAGTGGCCAAACAGTTGCTGGCATCCAGCGATCAACAGGGCAGGTATCGGCCCAGATATCCGTGCAGGAATGAGCAGTCCAACCCCGGCAACCGTACATCTTCTGTGCAGTAGCCTTGCCCGACTTCGCCACGCGCTCGAGTAGATCGAAGAGAGGTTGTTCGCATTCTGATAGGTTGCACATGTTTGCGCCCCAATAGTTCATCTGAAGGTTGACGTTGATCGTGAACTTTGAGCCCCATGCTGGGTGAAAAGATGGATTCCAGATGCCTTGCAAATTCGCAGGGAGGGCTCTGTCGCCAGTCCGACTACAAGATATCAGAAGATAGCGTGCATAGTTGAGGTAGAGTGCGATCAAGCCGGGGTCCCTTGTATATTTCAGGCGCTGGTCTGTTGGGATGTCAGGCGAGTTCGGGCTCAGTTGCAGATCCATGCGATTATACAGCGAGTGATAGTCGACAGTGTGTCGAGCCAACAGATCAGCAAAAGAACAGCTGATGGCGTCATTAATATCGCATGATGCTCTTTGATCAATGTCTTGATGGCGAAAAGTAGTCTGTGCTGCGACCAGCAGGACGGCATCGCCAGATTCAACAAGAAGATTATTTCCAATACTAGTGACTGTGCCTGCCTCATCGTGACACTGAACCCCGACAATGCAACAGGCTCGATTACTGTTTCTACCCCCTGGCGTAACGTGCATGGTAATAGCGTTACCGGTAGCACAAACGTCGTCGAGATATTCGTTGCTCTCAAATTCCAACTCGCTCATGCGCGTCAAGCGCACAATGAATCTGGCTTGTATCGTTGAGCGGACCCGGATAGCCAGTATATTATCGGGATAGCTAGCCAAAACTTCTCGTTCAAATCGGGCTCCTTTATGCTCATACTCAATACGCGCAATGGCGTTGCACAAATCCAACGACCGTCGGTACTTTGAGACATGTTCAGGGTTATGATTAAAATCCAGAAAGAGAGTACCCAGAGGTTCATAGCTGCGTTGGCTGATTGGATAGGCGAAGAACGCATTTTCTGCCAGCTTCTCTGCCTCGACATGGTTTCCTGCGCGAATGGCCTCTCGCAATTGGGGAAGATATTTCCGGGCATCTCTCGGAATGCGGTCCTGTGGCCCTCCATACCATATCGAATCCTCGTTCAGCTGCAGGAGCTCTGTGTCTGTGCGGCCATACACCATGGCGCCTAGACGGCCATTGCCCACTGGGAGTGCTTCATTCCAGTGAGCTGCCGGCTGTTGGTACCATAATTCAGACATGACGACTTGGACGTTCTGACCTGTTTCCTGGGACGAATGGGCTTATGATGGACCGACTGACCCATCAGTCCATCGGAAGTAAACAAGATTGAGGCGGCATTTCGGTCCGTTGTCCGGGTAGAGAATTGAGAATAGAGTGGAATAGTTAGCGAAGCAAAGCCAAATAAGAACGTATTTTGGCCACTCTTTGTCCGGACTTCGGGAATAATCTTCTCCACAACACCAGCCCTAACACGGGTAAAAAGTAGTCATCAAATCGACAACAGCCCATCATCCGAGGATAGCTTAATCCCTGTCTCGCTAGTTCCCCGCATTTGCATCTCAATGGTGGGAAATTTACGGAACGAGATAGCGCTCGAAACTAGCCAGTCGCTGCCGTTTTGTCCATCAACGTGACTAACGCCAAATTCACATTTCCCGGTCTTAACCACCAATGGTCTCTGTTGCCCCGGCCGTGCCACGCCGCCCGAGGTTAAAACCCAGTCTCAAGCACACATTCTTTGGTCTTGGTCATAGCCAATGCCCAGCTCCGTGGCGGAATGGGAGCAGTCTGGACACCGACCTCCACCGGCCGGCATGCCAGCTCGCTAAACCACGATGCCCGCCGGAGTAGAAATACCACAGAGTAGCCCTCGTTATCGCCATACAAATTGAAGTGAGCAGACCACCGGGTCGGGATCTCAGACAAGCGAGACAGACTACCAGACACCACTTCTGAGAGGGCATTCACGTTCAACTCGATCAACAATGGGCAATCCTAACGACGAGGACGCCGCTCCGCCGGAGTACGAGCTCAAGGGCATTGCCCAAGAGCATGTGGAAGAGATTGTGTTGGCACGCTTGACGGAGGAGGACCTGTGGACGCTATCGCAGGAGTCACTGACAGTCTGGTCAAAAACCGGGTTCCGTCTTTTTCTCATCATGTTTGTGCAAGGATGCAACCAGGCCGGCTTCGGGGTTGACTGGGGAGTCATTGGCGGTATCAACGCTTTTCCCGCATGGCATTCATACCTTGGCTTTGGCACCTCCGGTTCCACGTATGGCTTGATGAATGCACTGATGAGCATCGGCACCGTGTGTGGAGCGCCGTTCATGGCCCTGGCCGATGTCGTCGGTCGTCGCGGCATTAACTTCGCTGGCAACTTTATCGTCATTATTGCAGCCATTCTGCAAGGCTGTGCTATTAACATGCCTATGTTCATGGCCGGTCGATTCTTTATGGGCTTTGGTACGGCCCTGATGTCCAGCTCTCAGTACATCGGTGAAATATCCCCCATCCATCTCCGTGGACGCATGGTCGGTTTCTTCGGGGCCTGCTTCCAGGTTGGTAGTCTGACTATGCTTGGCGCTATGGTTGGTCTCGCCAATCTTGCTGGAAATGCATCCTGGCGCACCCCTCTACTGCTAGAGATTCTATTTCCCGGCATTGTCTGCACGACCATCTACCTTTTGACGCCTGAGTCGCCCCGTTTCTATGTCATGCGGGGCAATCGCGAGAAAGCAAAAGAGGTGATAGCCAAGTATCATACGACAAGCGGTGATGTCAACCAGCCGATTGTTGAAATTGTCGTTACTCAGATAGAGGAGTCTTTGCAGAACAATACCTCTGATTTCAAGGGAGCCTGGGACTTCCGCATCTTTTTCACCAAGGTTGCTCGTTATCGACTGCTGTGTCTTACACTGTACTCATTCTTCCAGCAATGGAACGGAGGCAGCATTATCACATATTATGTCAGTTTCATCATTCGATATTTGTATCAATTCTGACAACATGTTTAGATGGTTGATGCGTTGGAAACAGTTGGTATCACTGGCACCAAGCAACAGCTGGGCGTCACCATTGGCACCACCGCAGTTTACTTCGTTTTCACCGCTGTCGGATCTCTGCTCGTTGACAAGTTTCGCAGACGTACACTCATCTTCGGAGGTCTCATTTCCATGGTCATATTCCAGGTGGCCACGACGATCACTTCTTGGCAGTACAGTCTGAAACCAACCAATGCCGCCGCAGGCCTGACTCTGCTCTGGATATTCCTGTACCAGACATTCTCGGCAACGCTCGTTGCAACGATGCACAATCTATACCCTATCGAAATCCTGTCCCTTCCTCTTCGCGCCAAGGGCATGGGTCTCTACAGTCTTATCCAAGGAGGTGCTAGTGCCGCCCAGACATATGGGATTAGTGTCGGAATTGCCAAGGTCGGCTACAAGATCTGGGTTGTCTACATTGTGTACAACACCATCCAGCTCGGCCTGTCGTATCTCTTCTTCCCTGAAACCAGCGGCCTGACCCTGGAAGAGATCGATACTGTCTTTGAGACACCTGGTGTTCCGCCGGTCAAAATGTCGCTAGACATTCAAAAAGCTAAGAAGGAAAGGAGGGCCGCTCGGGATGAGGAGGGACGGCACACGCAGTGATGTTACGATGTACCTACATAGTAAACATAACGCTAGTTACTAGGCCTAATGACCCCTTTCTTAAATTACTAGGTATCGAAGCATTTTATGTATGCCTTTGCTGCAGTCGCCATATAACGGTGCGCTGTATCTAGCCGACTCATCATCTTAGATCCGGGCTGGAGGACTTGGTGTATCTTCTTGCTGAAGGACACGTCCCAGAGATAGTAGTATATCAATAAGGGAGCTCACAGGGCCAGGTGTGTAATGTAAAATTTGGCCCATTCTTGCAAGAGGTAATTCGTAAGTCTCGCTGATTGAACGGATAAAACGCGTCGGTCCCGATGAGCCTGCGCGTACCCGTCGGGAGTGGTTGCTTGTTCTGCTGCGTCGTTTTGACCTTCCTTGCATCTTCAGTGGGGTTATTAGACGGAAGCATGTCCAATTCGTTATTTTGCTAGTAGTAAATGAAGATGGTCGTGGGATTATGGTTGTCTTTCTATCGAGTTGCGGAAAACTAGCAGTGAACGGCTGTCAGATGATTGGCTCAGCCCTAAGTTCAAGAGACGTTTTCTCATCCACCTCCCTCGCCAAACATCATTCTCTTCGTCCAAATGCAAATTAAACGCAAGGTACGTTGTACAAACTGATCAGGTACCGAGTTAAGGATATTCCGTCAGCACCCTGATCATCTCCAATTGCTCAGATGGGTCCGTCCACCACGCCGCCAACGGGCCGCAGGGCAAATCGTTCCAGAAACACAGATCATGCAGCCCGGAGAAGGACCCCGACAAAAAGGATTAACGGGCTTCTTGCAGGATACTGTGAGACAGATAGGCCGGCCGTTTCTCTCTGTAGCACTAATCTGGTATTTCTTGAGAAATTCTGTGTGGTGACGCGAGGGAGAGGGGTTCATAGGATGAGTGCAACTAAGGAAGCAGTGTCCTTATGCTTTCCTTTTTTGGTGGTGTGCTTTGTATCAAATACTTGAGGCTCTTTTATATCTACCTTTGAATGCTGGCCCTTCTAAGCACAGATGGTAATAGACGGTAGCTACTTACGTTGGAGACTGTTGTGGAGGCGACTGCCCAGAGATTTCCAGCCCTGTGCCGTTGTTCCATGCAGTCATCGAATCTCCTCAAAGGATACGGTCACTGTGGCCCATTTTGCGGTAGCTATCTTGGGGTAGAGCGAGAGAACCCCGCGACGGTGAGCAACAAAGAGTAAGTAGCCGAATACACATGAGGCAACGTTGTCATGTAACAATAATGCAGAAACCTAGTATGTAGATCAGTAATCACTAGTACTTACCCAACCTAGCCAGCTGGCAAGTCCTATTCTCTAGATCAAAGCCCACTTTGGAATATCTCCTCTGTAGTAACCCAGAGACGGAGCTGTTTGTAAACGGTGCTCGTATTCTCTGTGGCCAAGAGATGCCCCAGAATGTTTGATCGAGGCCCCGTGTTTTACGCAGTGACATAGCTCTCTCCGCTACTGGCCTACCGGGCACACAGGCACCCAGACCAACATACGCACGGCCGTTATGGACCGAGATGAGACTGCAGCATCTCCCGGCCATGCTTCCCCCTCCTTCTCCTCTTCCAGTGGGTTCTTCAAGACATGCACGCCCGGTTGTGTGAAAGGCAGGTAGAAAAGAGGGCTGGTGTCACCATCCGACCTGCCAATAAGAAAGCTAAACAAAGCCCCTTTGCGCCATCCATTGGCCGTTTGACCCTCATCACGAGACACGGGGCATGCGTTCCAGGAGACAAACGGGACGTCACTTGGCAATTAATGTTAACAGCAGGTGTGTCGAGGACCGTACAGTTCTGTCGGTATACCTCCTGTCTCTGGTCTTTGGATCTCCTTCTCTTTCTGGGATGGTTGGGATTCGTGGCTGTTCCCCTTCTGCACTGCATCGTTGGGGCTCTTCTTGTCCGTCTTCCCGTGGTATCACCCTGGTGACTGACTCGTCGGTTATTGGAGGGCCGATGTTGCTTCCTTTCTTATGATAATGACGGTGAAGGCAAAGGTCTGTGCTGTCGTGATATAACTAGAGCACCCTCTGTAGTTCTCCCACGTCGGTCCTTATCTGAAAGTCACATTTGCCAGTGCCTCTTTATAGTTCTTTGTGAGGGAGCCGGCTTTGAGAACCATTCGATTTCGTCCTTGTCGCCAAGGATCCATGAATCTCCTCGTTGTGTGAGAATACCACTTTGTTTTGAAAGGAGAGCGCACATCATTTCCCTCAAAAGCAGCCTCGTTACTCTCTAACAGGGGCTGTTTTCTACTATTGTCGATACCCTGCCCTCAGGAGATGCCACCGAAGAGCTCACAAGAAACCACAATCATGCCCGAAACTCAGGGTCTCAAGTACGACGAATCGGAGATGGCACTCTTCAAAGCCAAACTCTCATATCATTCCACCATCGATGCGCGCATGGCCTCAAAGGACACGAATCTCGCCTCTATCTCGGAACATCAAGCACGGATTCTCAAGCGGTGGGAGATGCTGAAACAAACGGAAAAAGAAATGACAGAGAAAGGCAAAAGCTTGCCTGCCGGTGACAAAAAGCAACTGGCGCAGTATGAGTGGAGGTACAAGCACCTGGAAGAGCTGGCAACCAAGACTGCTGGAAGCTAGTACGGGACCCAAAAGTGTGTGTTTTTCCTCCTGGTCATTTGCATCCATACAACAATTGAGCGATTTGAAGGCATTGGTGGCATTAGTTTAGATCCTGGGCGGTGCAGCGCCGCAGACGGTTTCATCTGAGCGGCCTGTGGTCCTTCTTGAAAATTGGCATTTTCTCCACGGGGACTTGTTTCCTGCCTCTCTTCTTCATCCTGTTCATATTGTTTGAATTAAAGGTTACAACTCGCTTACCTCTAGAAATCGAAGAGCTTTAGCGGGAAACTCCTCTGCGAATATGTTCTTGCAGCACGATTGCCCCGATTGCCCAAACGGTTGGACTCGAGGGGCGTCCCTGAATGTTGCACAAGCAATCTCCGCGGCCTGGTCAATATTGCGACAGTAACGCAAGCTACATTTCACCCGTCTCCGCTGCCTCGCAGGTGCAAAGTCCCTAAGACGCAAAGGACATGCCAGAAACTTCCTCTTTGAGCATCAAATGTACAAATGGCCACTGCAACTCCAGCCATTCGGATGCAGAAGACAGCAAGTGACGCTCTAGAGGCAAGTTATTGCGTTGATCGTATGACATTGTGACACATTGGAGAGAAGAGGATTGAGGTCACTGTTAAGCATGACATCAGGAGCTGACCGTCGTGTAAATAATGAAAAAAAAGTGTGTATATCTTCAATACGATTCATACCTGATATTCCAAGATCGTAAAACATCTATCGAACCAAATTTGGCAACATAACTACCGATAAATAAATGAGAGAACATGAATGTGAACAAAAAATTCCCAGAAAAGTCGCCAGCCAGAAAGAGATAAAACAAAAGCCATCCTAAGCACAGAACGGGCCCTATACAGAGGTAGACCGGTTGTCATCACCGTGCTCTGTTAATAAGTATCATCAACACATTAATAGAAAAACAAAAACGAAAAAAAAGGGGGCAAGGTCGTAAACTGAAAAGTCCGACATGAATAATACATTCCCAATGGCGCCAAAACCTGTATCAGGAAAAGTATAAAAAATCAACTGTGCAAGAACGAAACATTATTCAATGGGTGGAAGGTATCAGTTTTTCTCGCCTGACGGAGCGGACGGCGTCGGAGTAGATGGAGTTGGGGTCGGGGTAGACGGTGTTGGAGTAGACGATGAACGAGTAGACGAGCGTCTCGTCTCCTCGGAAGCCGACGAGGAGAAACTGGCTGGCCCACCGGCGTCTCTGCCGATACTCGACCTCGAGCCCTTTTCTCGGATAGCGAGACGGGATCGCGGATAAGAAGGCACAGGAGCGAGATATCTGTCCAGCAGCTCGCTTAGGATTGGGGACCGGACGGGCTTGGGCAGGTAATTGTTCATGCCGGCTTCGAGACACTTCTCCCGGTCGCCCTCGATGGCACTGGCGGTCATGGCGATAACGAGCACCTCGTTCACATTTCGGTCCGGGTCACGGCGCAGCTCGCGGGTGGCGTTGTAGCCGTCCAGAGTGGGCATCATGACGTCCATCAAGACGACGTGGAATGGATTTCCTTCTCTTGATCGCTGCCGTAAGGCCTCCACGGCTTGTCTGCCGTCGCTGTATGCTTCGCACTGGAGGCCTAGACCCGTCACGAACTTGACGGCGATCTTTTGGTTGATGGGGTTGTCTTCGGCAATGCAGACGCGGATGTGGTCGCGTGGGATCTGGGTGAGGTCGCGCGCGAGTGGCCGAGGTGCTCCCTGGCTCTCGGTCTCGGTCAGATCCTGAGACCATGGGGTCTTTGCCACAGTCTTCTTGGGGGCTTTGTTGAAGACCAGATGGAAGGTCACAGTTGTTCCCGCACCGGGCGTTGACTCAAGCCAGATGGCGCCACCGAGAACATCCTCGATGATCGCTTTGCAGATGCTGAGACCCAGCCCGCTGCCACCATACGATCGTTCTGTTGAAGGATCGGCTTGCGTGAAAGGGCGGAAGAGCCGTGCTCGCTGCTCATCGGGAATGCCAATACCAGTGTCGGCCACGGAGCATTCGAGGCGGATGCGGCCTTTGCCCTCCCGAACAACCTTCGCTTTGACAGTAATGGAACCCTTGGGTGTGAACTTGTAGCTGTTGCTGAGGAGATTCATGAAGATTTGATGCAATCGAACCGGATCTCCAAGGACTACAAGCCCCGCCGGAACACGGTCCAGGTCCTCTATCGTGTCTAAGCCCCGTTCGCGATGTGTGTAGCGTAGTGCACGAATGACCTCCGAAATGGTCTCTTTCAGATTGAGCGGCACTGTTGAGATCTTCATCTTTCCAGCTTCCAGCTTCGAAAAGTCGAGGATATCATTGATGAGTGTGAGCAGCGTATCGGCGCAGACGCGGATCGATTCAACGTATTCGTCCTGCTCCTTATCCAACACAGTGCCCTTGAGCAGCTCCGAAAGACCGATAACACCGTTCATCGGAGTGCGCAAGTCGTGGGAGATGTTGGCAAGGAAGATGGATTTTGCCCTTGCAGCGTCCTCCTTGAGCTTGACGTTGTGCTTGGCTTCCGCCTCTGCCACCTTAGCCTTCTGCTCTGCTTCGCGCGCCTGTGCGAGTGCACGCTTCTGAGATTCAATCATGGAGGCATTTTTGGCGCTGACCTTGCGAATCTCGCGGAAGAGCAGAGCGTTGGATAATGAGATTCCCATTTGGTTGCACAGAAGATGAAGAACAACAACGTTCCGTTGGGTGAACCAGTTCGGCTTCCCTTCCAAATGGATAACTCCAAGGAGATGCTCCGCTTGCACGATTGGCAGCGCAATCACAGACCGGCCCATCGGAAAGTTAGCCATATAGGCGTCATTCACATTGGAGAAGCGCTCATCCTCGAGCACATTGTGGACAAGGACTTCCTCCTTCGTGCGCATGACATAGTGCGAAATGTGCTGCGCCATCTTGTCCTCCATGTCAGAGAACGGTAAGCCATCTGTATAGGCTTTCTGGCCCTTTTCCGCATCGTTTGTAGCAGCGATTGAGAAACCGTTCTCGTCAAAGTCCGTGGCAATGGCGGCGAAGTCGGCGCCATTGCATGATTCAAGGATGATCTCAAGCATCTTCGTGAAAAGCTTATCGACTTGAAGCTCAGATGACATGACTTGGCTAGAGTCGAGAATGCTAGACAGGTCGATGATGTCTGGTTTGGGAGTTAGCAACCATTCCAGACCGGGGCCGGGGCAAGAACTTACCGAGTCCAACGCTTGAGATATCCATCGACCGTTCACCCGTAGTGACACCATTCTGTTCAATCCATTGCTGTTGCCTCTCATCCTCTGCAATGTTTTGAGGATCAGAGATCTGCTCCGGCCCAGGGTCGCGGCCGATCTCAATTAGAGAATCGACAGTTTGGCAACCAACATCAATTGTCTTCGCCGAGGTTGCTGTCTTGAGCAGCCATTCGTGCTTCTCGGCAATATGTGCTGCTTTGCCATTCGCAGTAATGGAGCCCCAAGCTGCGATAGCCTCCTGCAGCAGCGCCCGAGCTGCGCGTTTCGCTCCGCGTCTCACCAGAAATTCACCTTGCAATTCCAGAGCGAGAGCCTCTTCCAAGGGCCACGCATGGACCTGGCAGTGATCGATAGCCGCCTCGTAATGTTGAATCGCAGCGGAGTGATCATTCCGTACTTCTGCGATGAGCGCTTCCAGCAGCAGCGACCACATGCCATAATTGACATCCGAGGCACTCCGAGCGAAGTCAATCTCAGCTTTGTACTTGAGAACGGTCTCCATTTCCCCGTCGAGGTATCCGTGGCCGGGATTATCGTTGTGAAGCGTGAGAAGGGACATGGCCAGGTAGAAGTAAATCACGTAGGACACACGCACGGACCAGAGTCTGTGTTTTGTGTCCAGTAACTGTGTACCCACTTGGACGGCCTTCTCATGATGCCCAAACAGGAACAGGGGCATCATGGCAAGACCCCAATAGATATCCCGAGGCCTGTCAACGTTACTGGAATTGGCGTCCAAGTGCGCCATGTATTCAATCGCATTGTGTTCTCGGTCTGACATGATACCTTGCTCGGCTCGGAAATCAGTTTTACCCTGGAGCGCTCGTGCAACTTGCCGCACGGTAATTATGCTGGCTCCACCACGGGTATCTCGCATCCATTCCGGAATGTCTTCTGGAGTTTCCACGCAAAAGGCTTCCAGCTCAGCCATGTCTTGGCCAAGATAGAGGCGGGTCATGGCCATTGACGAAATGCTGATCAGGGTAATAGAGGGATCGCCCATTGTGAATGACGCCTCCAAGGAGGCTTCGAGTGAAGGTAGAGTCGATACCAACGGGATGCGCAAATGGCTCACGAAAAGATTGTGCGCAATAGATCCTCTGCTCTGGGTCCATAGTTCAGGGCATCGCTCAAGAAGCGAGAGCGAGAAGTCACTGAGTTTAGCACCGAATTGAATGTCTTTGAAGCGGCTCAGGGCGATCATGGCAAGATGAGAACATCCGATCGAAATCGGTGTGAACCCACCTTTGAAAATGTGAACGTTCATCATTTCAATCGCCATCCGATAGAAGGTCAACGCATCATCCCAGTAAGTCACGGACATTGCTTCTGCCATGACTGCTCCAATAGTGATGAGGACCGGATCCTTACTGGTGGCTTTTTCGGCAATTGAGTCCAAGTCAGCCGCCTCAAGGTACGACTTCAGCTTGTAGTAGGCTACATCGCACTCTTCCAAAGTCGTGGGAGCCCGAAGATGGACGCCAAGTTCATCGAGACAGGTGAGCAACGCTTCCATCGAACGATGATGATCGCCCAATTGAGCAAAAATCTTGGCTTTGACGACCCAAGCTCTCGATTTGTCCACTGCAGTTTTGCCATGGACAAAAACCTCGTCGATCAGTTTCAAGGCCTCGGTATGCTGAGCCTGGGACCATGACATTTCGGCAGCGGCAATGAAAAGCCGCAAAGTTTCGTCGTAATAGACATCCTTTTTACTGCCATCCCAGGGCTGGTTTTGAAGCAATGCAATGCAATGACGGAAGTACCAGAGGGCAGATGGTCGTGCTCCAGACTGAGCAGCTGTTTGCCCAGCGTCCCATAGAATCCGTCGGTATTCGATTCTCTTGGAAACGCGAGACTTGATGATTCGGGACGCAAGAGCCACATGGTGCGCCATTGCGTACCGGCTGCGATGATCGTGGTAGTATTTCATCAACGCTTGGGAGACAATAAAATGCATTTTCTCCACATTTCGGCCCTCATTTAGGGAAAGAGCAGCCTGCGCAAGACGATCATTCCCGAATCTGCAATATCCATTAGCAACTTCGTTAACGCAAGGTTGGTCAGTTTCGGCACGAACCTGAACTCGTCATCAGTTTTGCCTGGGTTCAAAAGATTGGACTGCACCAAGTACTGAAGACCGACGACTATATCGCCATCTGACTTCCTGACAAGGGTGGCATTTTGCGGCGATGTCAGGTCCTGATCCTGATCATCCTCGGAAGAATAAAGAAACTCGCTGGTGAGGAGCTTCTGCACCAAAGAGAATGAGAAGGTGCTTCCAAGCAAAGCTCCCCAGACCATGATGGACCTCGCAGCAGGCGGGATCTCCTGGAGGCGCTTAGTGAGGAAACCCAGGCCCAGCCCTTCTCCGTACACGGGGGCCACGAATTCGGTAAAGATGCGATCGAGATCAAATAGCCACCTCGAGTCCTTCCACGAATACCAAATGCAATTCGTTCGATAGCAAGTTTCAAGCATCACCCGCACGTAGAAGGGGTTTCCTTGGCTCTTCTCCTGAACAACGGCAGCGAGCGGCGTTAGGGTTGGATTAGGCTCCTGGTGCATCGTGCATGCGATCAATTCCATAACCTCAGACTCTGCAAGAGGATTAAGCTCGATGCGTGTTATGTTGGAACCATTTGATTCGAACAAGGACCTGACGTTGTCAGAGGCAATTTCATCCTTGCGGCTCGTCAGTATAAGCACGCAAGGCAGCTTTGCTTTGATGATATTCAAAACCAGCTCCAAAGTCTCGTCGTCCGCATATTCAAGGTCGTCGATACAGACTGTGATCAACCGGAACTGACAGAGAGTCCTCAAAATCTCAATAAAGGTCTCCATCAGGCGAATATGATTGGAGGCAGCATCTGACAAGAAGAAGTCGGCTGCTGTTTGATCCTTGTTCAACCAAGGGAAGCTGTTCCGCTTGGCTGGCTCGCCCTTGGAAGCACTATCCTTGAAAATGTATTGAGCAGCCGAGCTCTTCGGTGAAGACGGTCTGTATTTTACTCCCGGGGACATTAGTTGTTCCGGTAGTTCCAAAACCCTGTGAAGAGTAGGCCACATCGGTCGCAAAGCCATCCGAACGCTGTTGTGATAGTCAGTCGTGACATCTGGTTCTGAGAAGATCTGGCGCAGGAGACTAGCGAGAACCTTGGCGAACGGCTCAAAGGGGACCCTTTTTGCTCGATCAAGGCGCGTGATAGCGATACAACCCAGTTTACGAATGGTTGGTTGCACGCGATTCAAAAGATCGGTCTTTCCAATCCCAGCAGCACCACTGATCGTGATCAACTCACAACGTCCATCCCGGCGGAATTTCAGCCCGGATTTTTGCTTGGTGTAGGAATTCAACGGGTCAGACTGGCTGTACGGATGGGCTCCTGTGGATGGCTGGCTGTTGGTATTCGTGCCACTAGAGCTGTCACGGTCGGTAGTGTGAGACGAGCGGGAATGCGACGGGCTCTTCGGTTTGCCAGGAATGGACATGCCAGTGCTTGAGGTAGCCTCCTGCACACTGGTAGAGTATGCATGTTTTGGTGTTGACACTGCCGTATCACTGGTTAACGTTGAATCACCATGCCCCACGTGGTAGGCGGTGGTGGCATTGGAGCCAGTTCTGGGAGGCAACTGGAACGATCCAGAATCACTCGAAGCGGACGCGAGTTCAAAGCTATCTCCACGGCCATCCGAAACGGAGGGATTTGAAGCCAGGGCATGCGCCGTGCCCGGACTTTGCGTGGAAGCTCTGGCGAGTTGCGCTCTCTGACGCCGGAGGACTTTCTGGACCACACTAATGATCAGGTCGTATTCTCGCTGTCGCCCAAACATCCGACTTGGGAGGGTAAAGAAGGAGGAAACATCATGTTGGGCAACCTCGAACGTGTTCAGCGCTTCGCTGTCGCCATCACCCAAGAGCCTAGCAATCTGGGACAAGTCCCTCTTAACGGCAGAAATCGTGTGATAGCGATCCTGGGCCACTTTCTGAGTCATCCTCTGGACGACGGCTGAAAGAGCATCTGGAACATCCATTCGCTTAACCGAGACCGGGGTCAATTTTTTGCCGAGGACATTCTGGACCACGTCAACGGGGTCACTGCCTTCGAAGGGCAGCTTCCCCACCAACATCGACCAGAAGAAAAGACCGAGAGCGTAGATATCTGTGCGGCTGTCTGGTTCGGTGGGCATTCTGCCGGTCTGCTCTGGAGCAATAAATTGTAGTTTGTACTTTGCTCCAAGTTCCCGGGAGACTGAAGACCAGCCCTCGCTGAGAACATTATCAAAAGACCGCGCGCCATTGCCGATATTGGCGAGCTTCACTGTACCGGTGTCACCGTTGAAATGGAACGCATCTCCGCGAATTTCGCCATGGACTGTTTTCATGCCGTAGTGAAGAATCTCCAAGCAGTCACAGGCACCCAATGCAAAATCAAAGAATGCGGGCAGGGGAATCTGCTCTCCGGGGGTCACGTTGTTGCTGTCGCTCTTGACCCCAGCTGCAAATGAAGCCGGCCCAAAAGTAACCAGGTCCCGCAGCGTGTCATGACCTGGTGATTCAAAGATTGCAACCAACAGTGTTCTTGTATCCCCAGGATCCGGTGGCAGCCGGATGAGATCAATAGGCCTGATTGTATGATTGCAGTCCGGGTCCGATGTTTGCACAACCGACATCAGCATGTGGAACTCCCGTTCTAGCCTCACGACGTTGGTCGATATCCGAGCGATGACGGGGGTCCACAACTGGTCCTGGTCGCCCCGTGAAAGCGAGAGCTCGCTGCTTGTTTCGCTGATGCTGATTCGCCGGTTCAGGGTGCGTCCAGGTCGTCGAATTTCGGTGCGAGGCGAGTAGCGGGTCAAACTGGACGGACCGGACGAGGTGGGTCCGGAGGAGGTCGCGAAGGGGGTCGAGAGGTCGTTTTCAACCGCATGACGAAATCCCGAAATGTGCCAATGATTATAGGTTGAATGGAAGGGCTCTATTGACTGGTCCCACGTATATCCAGGCAGTTGGCTGAGACGTTCAAAGAGTCGGGCCGGTGGGAGCGGCAGGTCTTCCCCAAACGAGTGGCTTTCCTCCATCTCGAAGGTGTATGAACCAAGCGATCTCGTTACAACGGGCCCCGAATAATATCGCCTGGCCGAGAGCGATCACAACGACCGGACATGGACGCAAGCGACGCGGAGGATGATTAGCGGGGAGGAAATGCCCCTCAAGCGCAGTGGTGGGCAGACTTGGCCGCAGTGAGGATATGAGCGAGGTGACGGCCGTCACCTTAGTGCATATCACAGACGACAGGCAGAACGCGATCGACCTTGAATGAATGTCGTCGAGTATGCGGGCAGAATGTCCCTTCGGGCCCAGTACAAAAGTCTCGGCGGCGAGTAGTCAGCAGCTCTGGTGCCTGAGGCATTATGATGAGTCAGCAACCTCACGCGATGCGCATCATTTGTCCGATGCATCGTGACAGGAACACACACTCCAGCTGATTCTATTTTGACCCGTTTCAACCCTTTCTCATAGCTATGATGTTCCGTCGTAATACCCGGTTCTGCTCCCGTCATGCCGATATGGATGTTTCACAAAGGGGGCCGACGGGCAGGGCGCAGATCCCATCAGTCTTCCAGGGCGCCACAGAGCCTCGTTAGCGCTAATCCTGGAGGGGGGGTTTGTGAATTGATGATTACATCACTACCGCTTTGCAAGGGATACTCATCGGTGGCCGGTCTAGACACGCCTCCTTGAATTTCTGCACCGTATGTACATACAACAGGCACGCCCCAAAGATGTTGGGGCCACCGAGTAGTTCCGCTTGATCGGGAAAAAAACACTCGTGAGCGGTGGACCATCCCAGTGGGTCGGAGGGCGTCACCGGAGGATTCTCGGTCGTGACTTCACCTAGGTATTTAGACCGACCAAGACCGTCATGATCTGGCCGGGCAGATGAGGTCTGGTCGGATGAGAACAATCCCTGATCCGTGACCGGTCGACCGGTGTGTTGGTGAAGGCAGTTAGTTGTCCCTCGTACTCGATCGACCTTACGTCATACCCCCGGACCGGCGCAATCCACTTTTTTGCCTCCCTTCATCCACTCCCCGGCCATCCTCCTGCGGGTACTGACGCCGGTTTCCACTCTTTCGCTCTTGTCGCAACCCGTTCATGATTAGTGACTGCGTGCCTGTTCACCGCGAATCCTCCCTGGAAGCCTGCCACCGCCGGAAAACCTTATTCCCGTTCTTATTCTCCATCGATTCTTCCTTCCTTCCTATCCTGACAGGCATTCTATTCTGATCGCAAACCCATCGGGCTCCCTGAACACTTCCGTCCGCTTCTGTCATCCGCTCAGGGCCCCGCCTTCCCTCCCCCTGTGACGGTCCGCCACCGCTGAGAAATGAGCGCCGCATCTTGCTCCTGTGACGTCAATTTCACCCAGGGGAATCTGAGTTGAGTTGATCGGTGGTGGAATGAGAAGGATGCAGAAGATCCAGAATCAGAACAGCCCGCCTTTACCTTCGCCCACGGAGACCGTCTCGCCCATCGCCGTGCCCCATCCGCACCAGCTGCTGCAGCCGTCCTTGTCATCGTCGTTGTACAGCGGTCCCCAGAGCCATGACCTGTCAGGGACCAAACGGCTGGATGGGATAACATCGGAGAAGGGTGGTGTCGTGCAGCCAGGCCAAACGCCTCGTTTGTCGCGTGGGGATTCTGCAGAACAAGTGCTCGGTCTAACTCCCATCACCGAGGACGCCCGCGCAGGGTCGGAACGCCAGGAAGACCAGGGACGAAGCTCGCAGACCCTCCAGGAGCTGCGAAGGCAGATGGAGGAACTGCTTGTGTACCAGCAGATGCAGCAGAATCAGCACCTCCCGGTGCAGGCTGAGCCCGTGCCCGGTCAGTCGGCCGACAAAAAGCGGCGTCTATCAAATGGTTCAGCCGCCTTTCGAACCCCGCCGGCGATTAATTCTGGTTCAACGGGCTCAGAAGGAACGATCAAACCAGCGGACCCGGCCAATTCCTTCGATCCTGTTGGACAACCAATGTCTTATCCTTTTCCACAAGTGCAGTCTCATGCAAGCCCTGAGCCCTCCACACGCCCAAGTCAATTTAGATTGAAACTTCCATCCGAAAAGTTAAAGTCCGCCGTGTCTCTGCCCGAGTCCGGGGCCGAGCATCACGCCGCGGCGACAAAGCCCGCTGATCTGCAACCGTTATTTCTGCCGCCACAGTACAAGAACATTCCCGACGACGCAGCCTTTTCCAGTCCCAATCTCTATGATCTGACCTTGAAGTTGAATACGGATCCGGGACTTGAAGCATGGTGGTCCAATCTGGTCGACATCTTCCAAAGTAGCTATGGCGCTGAGCGTGTGTCACTAGCTGTCCCAGGAGATGCAACAGATCTGGAGAATATGCCATGGGGTCAAAAGGCGCTTTTCAACCAGAATCGTCCTTTCATGCAAGATGTCCAAGCTCGTCCTCCAAGGGATAATGCGTCATCGGACGTGCAAACTACACCGAAGAATAATGATGCAATGGGGCAGAAGAAACGGGACACCAGATCAGTTTCGCATACCAAAGCTTTCGGACCAGCTTCTTCCGTTACTCGGCCATCCCTATTGTCACGGCACTCCTTCGCAGGTTTCGATAAGAATAAGCCACAAGCCTCGGTACCTGAGCTCGGACCGCCAGAGAATTGCTCAAAGGCCAATACAGCCAGGCCGGAGAAGAAACAAGCTCATGATTCTAGTGAGCCTGTAGGAACAGCGCCTCTGCCCAATCGAAAGCCAATGACAAACCCAGAACTGCACCTTACAATCAACAACTCCAACCCGCGCCACGCTGTTTTCCCAGTTGCCAGACCGTTGGAGGTTGAGCCAGATCCTCTAATCAAGCGGGCAGGTGTCGTGAAACTCTTCGGTCGCACCAGTCCTGTTATCCTCACCCGCCAGTATTCCGAAGATTACCTGTCACGTCGTCGAGATCATGGAAGCCCGCAGGAGCATGTCCAGGTCACGCCCAATGCTGAGGGTCCAGATGAGGTTCCGGGGCATGCTGGAACGGCAGCTACTGACCGACAAAATCTTGCTTCAACCTTGAACATCACTGCTTTGCAGCCGTATGACGAGTACGAGCAAGCTCCACAATCCCCATGGTCCCAATCTCCTGCCCCGTCACCAGCTCCTCGCGCAAACCCCGATCAGAATCCCTTTTTCAACAGAAGCCATACAGTCGACGAGGAGGCTTTCTCGAAGAACCCACCCCCCCATGATTATTCTAATAACTTTCCATTGGAGGCGATCGGGGTCGATGAGGCGAGGACTGTGATTCATATTCCACTTCTTCATGGTGGTCGTTCCAACCATGGATCTCCGTTGGCATTGAGATTCCCTGTTGCCGTCATATCCCTCTTGACGCCGATCGTGCCCTACCCGCCCAATCTTCGGCGGTCCCTGGAGTACCTCATGCCGCACCTAACGACTTCATTTTGTTTGGCCCAACAGTACAGTCAGCTCGAACGCCAGATGGCCTCTAGAGCAGATACTTCCCGGTATGGACATCTGCTGGGCCTTGGTGGGACCTTCTCCGATGCTAGCAGTGAGCTGGAGCTTGTGGCAGGTCTGAGCGGACATGTCACCCATTCTGTCGCCAGCGAAACTCCCCTCTCCGCCCGTGTAAGCGTTGCAAGCCCTAGCGATAACTCATCCACCAAATTCAGCCCTACCATATCCAGCTTCGGAACTCCTGGGTTTGAACTCGGTCAAATTGGCTTCGGGTCAGCGGGCCCTTCCGTCGATTCTCCCGGAGTGGCCTCGCGAACTGGTGCTGAAGCTGGAGACAGTTATTTCAATGTGCCGCAAGCACGAGGCTCTCGCGAGAACATCGCACACCATCGGCGCCAGCTGTCAAAGTCAAAGATAAACATCGTGTCATCGACGCCCACGTCTCCTGGCAGGCTGCTTGGGAAAGTGTACGTCGGTGATGAGAGTAATCTACAGGATCAAACCCCCGTTGTGGCACCATCGTTGCAAGAAATCAAACAATTACCTGTGGTTTCTCCGAGTCAGCAGTCATCACGTCAAGCATCAACCAACTCCTTGTACACCCAGCTGCAGCGGGAGCTGTCCCGTCCATTTTCTGACACCATCGCCCAACTGATGCTCAATTCCATTCCGCTTCATCTCTTTCTAGCTAAGCCACATACCGGCGAGGTAGTTTGGACGAATGCCAAGTTTGACGCTTACCGGAGAAGTCAACCTCAGGAGCAGAAATTGAGGGACCCTTGGCAGAACATTCATAGCAGTGAGCGGGACCATGTCTCCAATGAATGGGTCAATGCTTTGCGCACAGGCTCGCAGTTTACTGAACGAGTACGTGTTAGGCGGTTCAACGATGAATCGGCGTACCGTTGGTTTATTTTCAGAGCAAACCCACTGCTGTCGTCAACTGGTGAGGTGCTTTATTGGATCGGGTCTTTCCTTGACATCCACGAACAGCACATTGCGGAATTGAAGGCAGCACAAGAGAAAGAAAAGTTTGCCATCGATGCAAAGTATCGTGCATTCTCGAATTCAATCCCGCAGGTCGTCTTTGAAGCGACTGAAAATCGCGGGCTGATATTCGTCAACGAGCAGTGGAATCTGTATACAGGTCAAAATCTGGAGGAAGCCTTGGATCTGGGATTCGCTTTACATGTCCATCCTGACGACCTCGAAAAATGCGGTGGACTGTCTTTCAAGGCGAAACAGGATCAACCCGGATCCACCGATTTCGCGGAGTCGATCAAGGCCACTGTCGACAGTGCGCGGTTGGCACCGTCTGTGGATCGTAGTAGCATCACTTCTGCGCTTGATGATCTTGTGAAACGCGGCGTCGCTTCCGTGCAGAAAGACGAAAGCGGCCGTGTCTTCTACTCTACAGAGATTCGTCTTCGTTCGAGAGGAGGTGACTTCAGATGGCACCTGGTCCGTCTGGTGCGCGTTGAAACCAGCAGTTTCGGAAGCGGAGAAGCCTCCTGGTACGGCACATGCACTGACATCAACGACCGAAAGAACCTTGAGCGTGAACTCAATAAGACCATGCTTCAGCTGAACAGTCAAATGGAGTCCAAGACCAAATTCTTCAGCAATATGTCTCACGAGATTCGGACACCGCTAAATGGGATTCTTGGCACCATTCCATTCATTCTCGATACACAGCTCGACAGTGATCAGAGGCGAATGCTTGATACAATCCAAAACAGCTCCACGAATCTGCGTGAACTGGTTGATAACATCTTGGACGTCTCTCGGGTCGAAGCAGGCAAAATGGCCATGGTCAATTCTTGGTTCCACGTTCGGTCGATGATCGAGGATGTGATTGACACCATTGGTTCGCGTGCTATCGACAAATGTCTCGAGCTAAACTATCTGATGAGCCCTGATGTGCCATCAATGGTGATCGGGGATCGGTTCCGAATCCGCCAAGTGCTGATCAATCTTGTCGGCAATGCAGTCAAATTCACCTCTCAGGGCGAAATCCATATTTGCTGCAGCCTCCATCACGAACCCTCTGCTAAAGTCAAAGATACGGAAATCTTTTTGAGCTTTGATGTCGTGGACACGGGCACAGGCTTCAGCTCTGAGGATGCGGAGCGCCTCATGCAGCAATTCAGCCAGTTGGGGGAAAAGGGTTCACAGCAGCAGCACGCAGGCAGTGGTCTTGGGTTGTTTCTATCCAAGCAGCTTGTCGAGATGCACGGTGGCAAACTCATACCCAGCAGCAAAGAGGGCCAAGGGGCGAAATTTTCCTTCCATGTCAAAGTTGACGCGCCCCCTCCTCCGTCACCTGCTGAGCAGCCCTCGTTACTCCGTCAAAATTCATCCGCATCCAGCAGAAGAAGACCAAGGCTGTCTCGACCAACTTCTTACCAAACTCCCCGGCTATCACGTCGAGCCTCTGATGCCAAATCTGCGGATAGGGGCGACTCATCGCCTGGGCCGAACTTCAGGGTTGTCGATGGAGCCATGTCAGCAGGGAGTCTTGACCCACCCTCTGCCACATCATCTGCTCTTCCGACCCCAGATATCAGGACTGTGAATATGTCATCTGGATTCGGCCAATCAGGTCCTACATCTAATTCGTCGACCGTCGATCATGAGACGCAAACGAGTATAAGCGCAGCACCTAATCCCGCAGAATTGACGCCTCCAATTCGTTTGACTCCTCCGCCGTCGAGTATGTCTGTGCCCCCAGGGAGGCCTTCGCCGGATCTTCCCTCTGTTGTTCCGATTGAGGGCCCCTTCTCAATTGTCATCCTGTGCCCGCTGGACAACACCCGCCAAGCCACCAAGCAGCATATTGAGCAGGTTGTCCCACCAGAAATTGACTTTACGATTACGACACTGCCCGATATTGATGAGTGGAAGGATATGATGCAGTCAGGTTCCAACTCAAAATGCACGCATCTGGTCCTCAACTTGCCCGCCGCGGATGACTTTCTGGATGTCATACAATACGTGTCAGAGTTTGAGCCGAACTCTGCTCCCGTAGTTGTCATTATTTCTGACTTGTACCAGAAACGCCAAATCAGCACACGGGTGAAGGAGCTGGCAGCGACAGGTAAAAAGGTGTTCATTGTACCCAAGCCTGTCAAGCCGTTCTCTTTCTCAACCATCTTCGACCCAAGCAGCAAGCGCGAACTGAGCAAGGACCGCAACCAGGACATGGCGCGTGAGATCAATGACAATTTCAAGTCCATGTCCAAATTGGTCAAAGAGGTGCTTGGTAACAAAGGCTACCGCATTTTGCTGGTGGAAGATGATGAGACCAATCGTGATGTATGTGGCCGTTTCTCTCCCACTCCTGTTTCTGATCATGCTAACCAAGCTAATAGGTCATGCTCAAATACCTGGACAAAGTCAAGCTCATGTCCGAGACCGCATGCAATGGGCAGGAGTGCACAAACATGGTCTTCTCTAAGGAGCCCGGCTACTATTCTCTGATCATCGTAAGTACACCCCTTGATATTCTCGTCTTCTCCATTAAATCTAATATGATAAAAAAAAAAGTGCGACATCCAAATGCCGATCAAGAACGGATACGACACGTGCCGGGATATCCGTGCATGGGAGCAAAAGAACCATTATCCTCAGATCCCGATCATGGCCCTCTCTGCCAACGCAATGAACGATCAGATCGAAGACGCGGCCCGCGCTGGCTTCAATGACTACGTCACGAAGCCTATCAAGCACAACGAGCTGGGCAAGTTGATGATCGGGCTTCTGGACCCCGCACGTCCTCTTCTGCTTCTTCGGGATCGCCTCAATTCGCCCAACGCTGAAGCTCAACCCGCTCGGCGGTGATAGCTGCCTTTCGCACTTGCCTGCCACTTTCTTCTACGTCTTCTCTCGCCCACCAGCTTCATACCCGCAAAGATTCTCAACCGTCTTTTGCATCTCAATTTCTTTCTTTACAACATACTCTATAATACAGGCTGAGCGGGCTCCGGTTTATTCTTACTCCACAAAGAAACATACGGTTTGTTGGTACTTTTTGTTTGGATATCTTAATATTTTTGGAAAACAGGCTTCGGGCCGGAGAGCCATCGGAATATCGGCGCTATACACAAAGACTTTTCTTATACTCCTCACTCTGCTAGGATCCTTCAACATGCTGTTGCCTGTTCCGTCGACTTGCTGAGACTCCATCCAACATTTCTTTTACATATGCATTGGAGGCTGGGCCGTTGACGCCCGGTTTTCCTTCTTAGCATCTACGGGGTCAGGTGGCCGCTTGTTCTTTTTGTTGATTTTTGTTTCACTTTTGTACCATCACCCACATTTTGCGCCAGAATTCGACTCCGTCTTCGCAAGATTTCAGTCGTATCTTTTTTTTTTCCTTTTTTTTCCTTCTTCCTTTTCCTTTTTTCATGGGGTATTGCGAGCGGGCATGGGAGGGAATGTGTTCTACAGCCGCGGACTTGGGCTTATTTTCCTCTTCGATCTCCGTGATACCAGATTACGAGCGCTTAACGACACCTGTGTATTTTCTGAGCCTGTATTTTGTCAATAATCTACACTTTGATTTTCTCGTGTTCTTCCTCTTGTATGGTTTCGAGTCTCTAGATCTGTCCACTGAGCAGCAATGATACGCATTGTATAGCCGCATTTTTCGTCAGACTTCTATTATAACTGTTTACGCCAATTCCTACCCCCCGTCAAAGCTGCAGCGAAGCACCGATCGACAACGCATGCCCTATGGCTGGCTCCTTTGCTCTGCGCGGGGCTGAATGGTTTCCTGGATAGCATGAACACTAAAGCAATCAGAATCCGAATGGCGCCGCATACAATTATGATACAAATCAACTGCTACAGAGACAGAAAGCGTCAATTCGAGATCTACCGCAAGCGTGGCGCAAACGAGGGCAAAGCGCAAACAAGGGACAAAGCGTAAGTTTCAAACAAACACCCAGTGAGAATTTCGTTCGGCAAGGAGTCAGTCTGCAATTCAGATTTGATCAGTATGTAGTTCAGATCATATGCCCTTTTAAGTTTTAATTTTGAATTATTTTCTTTTCTCGGTTCCGGATACGTACTGAGTTCCGGAAAAAGGGGGAGCAAAGGCAGTAAAGGGAGCAATACACCCAGTTCTACAAGGAGTTAGCAGTGAAAGCAGCAATGAGTTGTCCACGGCCACGCATCCAGTCATCGCGCTGCATGTGGCGGTGAAGGAGCCAAAGAAGCGCATCCCCGCCGTAACTCACTAACGTAACCCCACTTACTCTGCTGGCCAAGTCAGTAAGATTGAAAAAAAAAAAAAAAAAAAAAAAAATGGGGATCGACGGGAGAACAGTGGGTTTCTTGATCTGGCGAATTGATCTGAGGCTCGAGATCAGGAGGAATGAATGATGAGGATAGTGATGATGATGATGATGGCCCAAGTCTGTCTGAACCCAATCCTGTCACTCCTGTTCGCAGAATGGTTCGTTCCCAACAGTCTCTGCCCGAGCCGGAACCAGGTCTGTGGGATAATGGAGGGGCGGATCAGGGTAATGGAGGGCATCGGGCGATGACGCTGGCAGAAATAACCGGGGGGAAGGGGGGAAAGGATTTCCTTTCCTATTCCAGTGCCAGGCCCGGCTGAGTCCTGCGCTGCGCGTCATTTTTCCTCGTGCTGTCCGAGCCTGCTGCTGGGCCTGGCTGGCCGGATAGAACGATTGGGCTCAGCCTGTTGTTTTCGGCGAGGCGGCCATCCCGGTGCAGAAGGGGTTCTTCCTCCAGTCGTTTTCATGGTGAAGCGGAAACAAAAGGAGGGTGGTGTCACAGGGTAATTCGGTAGCATTGGCGTTCGTTGTCAACAGGATACTTATTAATCTTCTTCTTCTTTGGCAGGCTGCAAGGCATTGTTGCATGGCGGGGATTGACGGCTCACTCGTAGGGCTGCACTTGGTTGGTCATTGTTCGACGGTTGTAAGGCGAGCTCTGTATCTGGGACCAATGAACAAGAGGCTGCGTCAGAGGGCGTATGAAATGCCGTAACGCATGCCACTTTTTGTTTTATCCAATTGTATTGTCGATAGCCGTGCGGATAGACAGAACAAGAATCAAAAAATGATCTGTCAAGCATGTCATGGCTCGTGTCCGCATAGAGCGGGGCTTCCCAACCCGCCGAGGTCTTTTTTTTTTTCGCGGACTGATTGGCGTCTAATGCGCTTGTCAATTTCGGTTCAACTGTTGGGATAGCAATAGCCGCATCAAGGCGGGCGAACGGAGTAGCAGATATCTTCATCCGAGGCCATTCTGTTCCAAACTTGGGTTCCTTACCAAGAGGTCGTACATTTCTTGTGTGCCTGGTTGGAAACCTTGTGCCCTCGTTGGAGTAGGGCATGGGGCCACAGGCTCGGCAAGAACTCCTGGTTCGAATCTCGTTCCTTCACGGTCTCTCGGTCCATGCATGGGTGTCCAACCTTTGCGATCTTCAAGCCTGGTGACCATGTCGCTGTCTGGCAGCGTTCATGCTGTCTGCAGCACTCCCGTTTCGGGGGGTCTGGGGGACTTGGGCCCTTAAAATCCTCAGTGATGATGTAAGTTCGTATGTGAGACAATTTTTCGGACAAGAAAAAGCCTCGGAAAAAACTCGCGTTCTTTTGGACTCTTTTGTTCCTTCCTCCCTGGGGGGTATCAACATATCAACCCGGCAAGTGGTAATCTATTCACAGTCAGTGGGCTGCGGTAACAGATAAGGGATATACCGGCTTTTCACTCTTGTAGTTCCGAAATTTCTCGCCATCTCCGCTTGTTCTCTCCCCACCCGCGAATGGACGTCAACCACCACGCCGACTTCCGCTTCCCAGCCACCACATTTTCGATGACGAGGGCACGGAACTCTGCAAAAGGCAGTAATGATGGAACAATTGAGGGGCAAGAAGGAAGGAGGGGAAGGACTCATGGCCCAAAAACAGAGAGCAGGAGAAACGGACGAGGGACGATGCAACACCCGTATTTATAGACCTACCCTCCCTCCCACCCGCCAAGCCTCCATCCCAACCAGCATCCCAGAAACACCAATCAGTCTCCGCTTGGAAAGAAACCGGGTTATACCAGACAGGAAGGGGGCGTAGTCCGAGACCGGTGATCATAAAGTAAATAGGCCGCCACGGGAGAGCGGAAGAGAGCCCTAGTGGAGGGAAGGTGGGATGGCTGGCAACCCTGGCCCAGACTCATCCTGTCTTCGCCCACTCCGAGCGGGGTCCGGGCGGTCCAGAGGCGAATCGGCGGGCAGATACGGAGTAGGGGATGTAGTCAGAGGCCCGGGATTGGAGACACAGGAGGAAGGGCGGGAGTCGATGTTCCCCCGGTGGCCCAATGGTCTCCCTGGCGCCCCCATCACCATCACCTCATCGGCCGCACCAGACCAGGCCTCCGCCGGATGGAAGACTCTCCGGTGAGGGCTATAAAGCCCGCATTTTGGTCGGGGCGAGTCCTTCTTTCTCCTTCTTCTCTTTTTTACCTTTTCTGACTTGCTCCATCTGAACAGTCCTCGGTTGAAAATCTTACCTGCCTTCCGTCTATACTTGGTACCTTTCTGTCCTTCCTTGAGGGCATCACGTTCCTGTTGCACATTATTATTATTATTACTTTGTGCTTAATCCACCTTGTCGTCCCTTCAGTCAACTTGACTTGCAAAAACTCACCGTCGCCATGGCCGCTCCCCGTCACTACTACCAGCCCTCCGCCATGCCCATCAATGTGCCATCAAAGGCACCGGCGCCAGCGGGAATGTACCCCGTGTCTCGGATCCATGGCTCGCCGCCAGATTTGTCTGACACCAGCACTGTTGCGGACAGCCGCACTTCGGGCGGACTCACATTCAGTTCCGCCAGCGGCGACTATGACTCCAGCTCCGCCGGCTACTCCGGCGTGGACGTCGTAGATGTCCTGAATGACCGCATGCAAGATGCGTATGACCCGATGCCGCTGGATAGGGGTATTGCCAGACAGGCGCAAACGTGAGTACTCCATCGTCAACCCTGTGTTCGTCGTCGAACTGCGACTGTCATCGTTCCTGACGCAGGAGCATGCATGCTCAAACGCATATTCTCGCGTGATGGGCGGCATTCCGCGACGGACATGCAGAGATCACTGCTAACCCGCAATTGTAGTTCCGGCCGCATGAACGCAAAGCAGCAAGAGCTGCTGGAGCTGCAAGCCCTCGCGCAGCGTCGTCTGAAGGGTGTACGAGCGAACTTCAACGAAGGACTGAAAGTTGCGCGGGAAACCAAGCGCGACCTGGAATGGACGCAGAAGCGTGTCAAGTAAGACTCCCCCATCCCTTATATGCCTCCCTTGATGAAGAGCGACGTCAACACTCTCCGCTCCGCTCCGCCGCGCTCCGCCATGAAAACGACACTTGGCACGTGCACGGCGATCGCCCACGCGATGCGTTTAGGGTTGTTCTAGACGGGATTCTAGAAGGCTGACGAGGCTATATTTAGCGCCCTGAAATCCAAGGCTGAGAAGATCCACCCGGACGACTACCGTCGCGCGGCACAGAAATACGCCTATGACGATAGGTACTGATTCGGTGCGAGGCGTGTAATTTCTCATGAACGTGACGAATGGGCGTAAAAATACCGCGATTTACGGGCTGCGATGGGCTATTTCTGTCTTGTTTTGTCGGGATTGGCGTGTTTTGCTTGGTTTTTTTGCGTATATCCCTAGGATCTTGGTAATTTGTATGTGTCACGAGAGGGTATTATAGTGCTTATTACGCCTCAATGATACTGAATTCTATGAATCGATAAGCTAGACAGCTGTAGACTTTATAGTAATGTCTTGTATGTGAAATTGAGCCGTTTAGTCGTTACGGTAATGCAATATATGTATCCTGCAGGTCATGTTGATAGTAGAGCCTAACGATACGACGTATTATGTAGTTCTTTTCTCTCTCAAATATCATTACTCTGGCACTTTCGGTCGTTTCTCTGTTGAAAATCAAGGCTTTATTTGCAAATACTTCTAAATCAGAAAAATCCTGGTAGATATATATATCGCAAGGCCGCTTCAAGACTTTGCCAAGTGACTTGGAAAGCCAAAGAGAACAACGATGACTCGAAAATAAACCCACAAAAAATATGACAAGAGTAGGACTCGATCCGGAGAGTCCAAAAAGGAAACACTCCTAGAACCAAGTGAAGAACAGTGATGAGCGGCCCTATCAGGGAGGAATGGTGTCTCCCTGTTACCGGACTATCCGCTTCACCCTGGGACACCAGATGGTGCTGGGGACCCGTTTTCAGAAAATACAAGGGAGGATGACTGTACCCCGATATAAACAATGTGGTCACGGGGTCACAGGGTATATAAAGGATGACCTGCCCTCCCACAAACTTCCCTTTCTGCATCCTTCTCCAACAGCTCTCCTCCCTCTGAATACCACCCTCAAGAGAACCGCGATTCCAAGGTGTCCGTCAATGAATAACATCAACTCAACATGTTGCCCTTCCAAGCTTGGATGGACTGGGTATTATAACTTCACTTCAAATCCTCCAGTCCGGATGGAGGTCATCCAGCCTGTCCGAGCACGAGAGCCAAAGGCCCTCGTGTGCTACTGGTAAGCTACTCTGCCAGAACATCAATGCAGACGGATGATGACGATCGAAGAGGTGAACAATGGTCCCGCCCGTGAGGGGCTATGCACTATGGCTCAAGTCATATCGACCAGAGTTCTCTGCATGGTCATCCTCGTTGGGATATATCATTCATTCAAACGTTTGAACAGTCCAAAGGCTGGTTAAATCAAATGTTCCCCAAAAATGTCGACCTACTTGATGTCGGCATTGCGATAGCAAGGGTGACCCTAACGGCGCATGAATGCCATACTCGATACCCGGCTATTTTTGACTCAAACGATCATGTTAGAACTACGCACGTACCATGGGGGCCTAGGTGTTGACCCTGACAAATTGCAGGCGATCGGTCGCGAACAAGCAAATGTTTGCCTTCCTCTACAATTCAGAAACCAGGAACCAGTCTACCCCGTCGATCTGGCGGCCAAAGTCACCGATCCGATCGCCTGTATGTCTGCTGCCAGCGTTTCCGCTATCTTGGTCGCACTAATCATGTCAACCCTCACATGAAAATCGAAAAGGATCTGTCACCGATGGAAATTATTGTCGTCTCTGCAGTAAGACCCCGTGCTCGCTTCTCAAGCTTGTACGTTGACTGACAAACAGGTCAGCCTCTTTGCATCCACCATTGATCCATC